ACGACTTCAACTGGACAACCTGCACAAGGAGCAAGAAATATTGTCAATTGCATGGTAAAGATAACCGATTCCTGCACAACAGAATCACCACCCCACTACTCACCGGAAGAAGAGCTCGATAACAGGACGCCTCGCCGCGAGTCTCTTCAACCGAATACGACGTACGCCGCCATTGCTCAAAGCGAACCATCCGGCCAAGACACTTGGTTCTTGGATAGTTGCTGCGGACAACATATGTGCTCCTCCGGGCGCTTCGTTCAACGCGAGCATCGACTCCAGCGAGAAGTAGTCATCACGGTCGCCAACAATCAGAACCTGCGCACACGACGACAAGGAGTGGTGCAGCTTCAGTCACGAGAGACAAATGTCATATTACACATGTCAAAGGTACTCATCGCGGAGGGACTCGGCTATAACTTACTGAGTGTCAGCCAGTTGATGGCGAAAGGTATTCACTTGGAAGCCGACAGCACTACACAGGAGTTCAAGTTGTACCATGGGAAGGGCGGCCTCTACATCGGAAGGGCGGTGTTGAAGAACAACGTCTTCGTCCTCGATTTCTTCCCCGACCTGGGCACTGCAGATAGCGACGCCATCGTCAACTTCGCCGATTGGACACATCCCCCGGATCTCGATCCCGACTTCAGCCCGAGAGGCTTCTGGTACTCGCACACCATACCTGAAGCAGAACGAACACGCGCATTAGCAACGATTCAACAATCGGCAGCAGCAGAGACAACATCGGCAGCAGCAAAAACAACATCAGCAGCAGCAACATCATCGGCAGCAGCAGGACCAACAACACCAATCTCCGTCGACGAAGCACCACCAACACCCGCACAGCAGCTAAACCCGACTCAACGAGAAGTCCACAGAAGCGCACACTTCGTCGCCAGCTTCTACTCCAACTCCGACGCGTATCAACGCTCACCCGGACACTGCGCTCCTGAAGACATCTGGCACGCACGCACAGGACATGCAAGCAACACAGTGTTAAATAACACAATTCGAGCAGGAGTTCTAGACAAGGACTCGCTACTACTACCCGACGGCAGAGAACTTCAACGTGCACGAGGAACTTGCCTTATCTGCCCCGAAGCCGACTTACCCCATCGACCGTTTTCTTCTCACCACAACCCAAGCGCACCTACATACGCGCCACTCGAGAAAGTATACAGCAACATCCTCTTCAATCGAGAACCAGGACAAGTCACCTACAATTACACGATAACCTTCATCGACGCCGCCACTCAATACGTCTGGCATCGAAACCTACACAGCCGCGACATGGCTCTCGCAGCGTTCGCCGCTTGGCTACCGGTAGCAGAGAGGGAATCAGGAACACAACTGAAAAGCTTTCAGTCAGACGGAGGAGGAGAGTACACTTCTCAGCGCTTCAAGCAGTACCTGGCGGAAAGGGGAATCAAGCAACTCCTCTCCCTTCCCTACGCACATCAGCAGCAAGGTGTTGCAGAAAGAATGAACAGGACTCTGCAGAACAGCATGCGCAAACTGCTACGTGGCATGCGACTACCCAACCACCAGTGGTCTGCAGCAATGGACCATGCTGTCATGCTGCACAACTTGCTGTCGTCGTCGTCACTCCCGAACAACGCATCACCGCACCTGCTGTGGACAGGGAAGCAGGGCAGCACAAAAATGTTACGAGTTTTCGGGTGCATGGTACAGTACCGACCCCCAGAAGCACGAGCGGGAAGATTTTCACAACGGGCACAGTGGGGACTACACCTCGGCATCGAGAAAAATTACAACGCGTGGAAAATCTTCGACGTCCACTCAAAGGAAACAGTAGCAGCACGTGATGTGATCTTCTACGAGCGACTCACCCTTCAAACGTACCTCGCCAACTTGCACGAGAATCAAAACCCCACAGGTGGCTTTCGTGGTGACCGAGCCTTCGCCTCAGCAGCGGACGAAGCAAACTGGGATGAACAGAACGTCGACAACGCATCGGAAGAAGCCGGACCTCTCCCGTTCTGCTCCGTCAACGTGCCCATGGACGAAGAAAGTCCTCGCGACAGTGCCAACGCCGAAGTCTTCTATCACTTCGCCGACAATGGTTACGTAACACCTGCGACAGTCAACACAAATGAAGCAGAACGGATAGGGCCAAATTTCATACCCGATCCAGAAGCGGGAGACGAAGCAGCTTATCCCGAGGATCCAACACTCCCCCGATACTCACAGACTGGGCTGCAAATCCTCGGCCTCGTCACCGCAGTGCACGGCAACGCGCTTCCTAAGGAGCCTGTGACGGTTTGGCAGGCTCTGGGGGGGGAACACAGGGAGAAATGGCGTGAAGCCATGGACAAAGAACTAAAGGCATTGGAGGAACGCAACACCTGGAAGGTCGTTCCCGCAAGCGTGGCAAGGAACAAGACTATTCTCACCGGGAAATGGGTCTTCCGCATCAAAACGAAAGCAGACGGCACGATCGAGAAATTCAAAGCACGCTGGGTCGTGCGTGGATTCGATCAGGAGCAAGGACGAGACTTCACCGAGACATTCGCCCCAGTCAGTCGACATACCTCTCTCCGAATCCTTCTCGCCGTCGCCGCCATGAAGAAGAAGAAGTTGCGACAAATTGATGTCGCCAATGCATTCCTCTACGCACCCGTCGACGCCGAAATCTTCCTCGAACTCCCACACGGTACCCACGGAAACCCCAATCAGGTCTGTCAGCTACTGAAATCTCTCTACGGAATCAAACAAGCACCGCGGCTGTGGCAACAGCACCTACACATCCGCCTTACTCGCATCGGATTTCGTCAACTACCTCACGACTTAGGGATGTACCGACTCACCAAAGACGCAGACTACATCGTGCTAATAGTCTATGTCGACGACTTGCTCTACATCGGCTCCACCGACAACGTCACCACCTGGTTCGAAGGGGAGCTGCAGAAGGACCTCACGCTCACGGTCTCTTCTACCGTCAGGCAGTACCTCGGGCTCAACATCCGCGAAGAAGAAAATGCGATCTATCTAAGCGCCGAGAAATACGCCGACACGATCGCCAAGCGTTTTTCGCTCACACCTACCGCTATCGCCACGCCATACCGCTACACGGCAGGAAATGACAAAGGAAATTCCGCTCCACTCAAAGCTGCCGGAATACGAGACTACCAGAGGAAACTGGGCTGCCTCCTCTTCGCAGCCATCACCTGTCGCCCGGATCTATCCTACTCCGCAAGCCAACTCGCTACCTACCTCAAGAAACCCGAAGCAGAGCACCTGGCGGAGCTCGATCGCGCACTGCACTATTTCGTGAGCACGCCGACGATCGGCTTGACTTACTACAAGAGCGAAGCTACGTCAACGAAACTAATCGGCTACGTCGATGCCGACCATGCTGGCGATTCAGATAACAGGCGCTCTCGCACTGGCTACGTCTATCGTCTAGAGCCTATCGGACCTATCTCCTGGCAGTCGAGTAAGCAGGAACTAATCGCTCTCTCTTCAGCTGAAGCATAATATATCGCCCTCTGCTCAGCCACCAAGGAAGGACTCTACTTTCGCGAACTGCTGGAAGAAGCAAAGTTAGCTGAGTTATCCAACTTCACCCTGTTCTGCGACAACCAATCTGCAATTCGCATCGCCAACAAAAGCGGATTCGCGAACAGAACGAAGCATATCGCTTTGCGATACTTCTTCGTGAAAGACGAGATCGAGAAAGGAAAACTCAAACTATCCTACTGTCCCACGTCCGAGATGGCAGCCGACTACTTGACCAAAAAGCTCGGAAAATAGAAGTTCCAGTACTGCATGCTGCTGACTGGACAAGGCCACGTCACCATCAGCGACACTCCAGAAGCGAAGGGGAGTGTTGGGAACAATAAGTCTTAAGCGCCTCTGTCGTGTCGAAACTCAGGACACAAAGCGAAGAAGTCCAAATCGAAGCATCGCGAGTCAACCCTCGGAGGTTAGGGTAACCGCCTGAAGGTTACGGGAAGGTCAAAGGTCAGCGACCTTTGACTTGACCAATACAGCGCGACAGCAAGGACACACAACTGACTCGACATTGAGCAGTTGCCCGAGTCGCACTGTATCGAATCGCAACAGCAAGGTAGCTTAATTACATCTATTCGTATTCCTTGTACTCTTATATAAAGCTTTGTATTTGCCTGTTTTAATCAACTTACTTTGCCCTCACGTACCAGCGCAAGGTGGTTCTAGGCTTTCTTATTCAACGCTTCCGCTATTACATCATCCTACTCAAACTTTAACTCTACAAAGATCCTAGGGCACCTCAGCCCAACAAATGTGAGTTTTGGCAAGAATGTGATTATGTGAGTTTCACCTTTCGGGCCACTTGCAGCGGAAGATTCGCCAGCGTGGCGCGACTTCCTAGAATGTGGGATGGGGGAAATGTCCACTTGCAGCGAAAGATTCGCCTGGGTGGCGACAGTGAGATTGTGGGAGGGGGAAATGTCGGCGGATTCTAAGTGCAAGTACACGCGAAATTTCATCTAGGAAGCAATTCTCGCGATATTCTCCTGTAAGGAATCAGACTCGATAACAGCTATAATAGGAATCCGTAAGAAAAAGGGGGGTGTGATAGAAAATCATCCAAAAAGGGGGGTATAGTAGAAACGAGGTCGCCCATAGCACCCACCCCGCACAAGCTACCCGGGGGTGTACTATCATGGGGGGGTGTATTGTCCGGGAGATTACGGTATTGTATTATGACATCAGAGTGATTTTGGGGAACCCATATACTGTAGTGTATCATTTAAACTCATCCTATGCCACACCCATTGGGTTGCAAGCAATCCAGCAAGCATGATGCGGAGCAAGGAAAACACAATTCCAGTAGGGGTGCAGTACATGCACTCAAGACATGGCAACTGCATAGTAGCAGGAAATTCCCATAGTACCGTATCACAAAGAACACACAAGAAGCACGTTCACAGTGGCCCAGGATCTCCACCACTGCGTTCTGTTATTTCACCAAATCAACAAGGTTCAAAAAAATCATATCAGGCCACCGTGGCAGCGGCAGACCCTCCAAGCAGCCCCCCACAGCCCGGCCAATACCACTCATCTGCCCCTGCAAACTGCAGCGCATACACAACAGGGGGGTCCACGCCAGGGCACCAAGGCACAGCCCCTCCCGCTGGCCCTGTTCCGGCCCCTGCCACTCCTCCTGCCCCTGCCCCTGCACCTGCCTGCGAGGCATGCGAGGCAGGAGCAGGGGGGCCGGTGTGCAGGATATGGATGGCCTCTATGTGGCGCCGGTCCAGCTCCATGTCCAGACACAGCGCCTCCACCGCTGCATGCAGGAGGTACGCGGAGAGGAGAACGGGGAGAGGGCAGGGGACGGGAGTGGATAAGAGAGTGGTAAGGGGAGTGTGGAGGGGAGTGTTAAGAAGGGAGGGTGGAGGGGAGTGTGTGGAGAGGGGGTATGCGGAAGGGGGGGCGCGGAGAGAGAGGGGGAGGGGGGAGTACAAAGGGGTATAAGAGAAAGGGAGCGCGCAACATGAACCACATCTGTGGCAGAAAGAGCCTGCTTGGATGGCAGGAAGCACAGGCATGCAGCAGCAGAATACGACTATGCCTTCACGCACGCACAGAGCATGCTCCCCCATGTGACTACTCCCTCCCGCCCAGAAAATGCCCCCCTCCTCAGCAACACACCTCCCCCAGCAACACACCTCCCCCAGCAACACACCTCCCCCAGCAACACACCTCCCCCGGCAACACACCCCTCACCCAGCAACGTACCTTCCCAGTTGAGGCATGGCACCAGCGACAGCTCCTCTTCATCTTCTCCCTCTCCCATGCCCTCTCCTCCTCCTGCTCTTGCTGCTGCTACAGCCGTGTTGCCCGCGCAGCTGGAGTGCAGAACCTCCCCCACAGGCACACAGTCGGACTCAGTCAGTGAGACGCCCGCCAGCTCTGACTCCAAGTCCATGCTCAGAGCACCACTGAACGCGCCCTTCCCTCCTCCCAACCTCTGCATACCACCACCACCAGCACCATTAACACCAGCCGCATTTCCGCCAGCACCAGCAGCGGAAGCAGCGCCGTTGTAGGGACGGAAATCCATCAAGGCTTGCAGCGAGCCGCTGCCGTTGCTGCGGCCGCTGGCGGAGAAGGCGAGGCTGTCGGGGCTGCGCGATCCGGGCTGCGACCAGTCGCCCTGCGAGCCGAGCTTGTTGCGCGCGCGCGCGTCCATCAGCAGCGTGAGATCGTCCTTACCTGCACGGGTTGGGCGGGCGGGAGGCGCGGGGGAAAGGCGGTGGAGGGTGGAGGGGAGGAAGGCCAGGAGTTGCAGACGGGAAGGGCTTAAGACGAAGGGCGAAGGGGAAAGTGGCGAAAGGGCGGGAGGGAGATGGCGACAAGATTCAGAATCCAGAAGCGATAGCGGCTAGAACGTGGTCCGGGAAGAACCGGAACAGTGGTGAACCGAGAATAAGAGCGTGGTGGGGCTCCGTCAGACGGGATGAACCGGGGGCGGTACTACTGGAGGGGGGGAATCAAAGCGGCACACCACTCACTCGTATCACCTTCGCTCACTCATCACCACTCACTCTCTGAACGCGTGGGACCGGCGCCGTTGTTGGATGTCCGCAGCAGTGAGTGACTGCGCACGACCACCCCGCCCGCCAAGTGGCTCCGCCCGATTCCGCCACCCGCCGCCGCGCCGCCAAAGTGCGGGTGATCGGGGGAAGTCCCCGCGGAGAGGGGCAATGCGCCGTGCGGGGGGAAGAGCAGATTGTCGGGGGAACCCGGCGTGGAGAACCCGCCGTAACCGCCGCCTCCGCCCCCGCCGCCGCCGCCGCCGCCGAGGCCGGTCATTCGAACCATACCGCTGCTCGTGCGGCGGCCGTGCAGCGACCGCATTGCGATCGCCGACGCACCCGACCGAGCGCCCGCACCGCCCGCACCGCCATCCTCGGCGCCCCCCCCGTGAACGTGCATAGGACTGTATTGCGCGTCGAGGTGGTAAGTAGCGGGGAACATCTGGCCGCTGGTCGCGCCGCCGCCGGCGCCACAACCGTCGTGGCTAGTAACGCTGCTCCCACTGCTGCCGCACTGCTGCGGAAGCGCGTGGTTGACTCCCCATCGCTGCACCTGCTCCTTGTGCGACATGCTTATCGCGGCGCTTAACGACATGCCCTTGGAGTTGTACGTCGGCTCTTTTGTCGCGATCCTCGCGCCGCCGCCGCCGGCGCCGCTCCCGCTGTTGCTGCGCGAGAAATTGCGCGGCGAGTTCGTCGCGGATGCTAACGGCGAACCGCCGAACGGCGAGCCGTTGCGGCTCGTATCCCGCGGGATTCGCGGCAACGGACCGGAATTGCAGTTCCCCATGCTGAGAGTCGGATCGCGATAAAAAGCCGCCGTCGCGCCCGCCACCGCCGGGTAGTGGCCGTTAGCGCCATTGCTGAAGGTAGGATCGCGGAAAAACTCGCCGGATAAGTGCGGCGGCGGCTGAGGCGAGGGGGAGGCGAGGGGAGACCCGCCCGCGCTGGAGGGGCGAAAGGAATGATCCCCCCCGCCCAGGCGCAACTCGCCCGATTGGCCCGTCGCTGCGCCGCAAAAGGCGCCAAATCGCGGCACGTTATCTGGGAGGTGCACGGGAGAGGATGATGTGCGAGCGGGGCTGCGGTTGGGGCTGCGGGAGTTGTTGCTGTAGCTGGGAAAAAAGGGCGGCAGGTCCGAGGGGAAGCGGCCGGATTTTGAGCCGGTGAAGTCGCTGTCGTGAGAGGCGCTGAAGCCGCCGCTGTTGACGGTGGTGGCGGTGCTGCTGTTGGTAGATATAATATCGACGTCGCTAGTGAAATCACTGCTGGGAATTCGGTCGCTCCTGCTGCTTCTGCTGCTGCTGTAGCTTCCGTACGACGCAAACATGCCCACCGTTACATCGTGCGCCGCGCCGACACCCCCGCTCATAGATGCCATGGCGAAACGCGGGTGCTCGCCGTGTGCAGGGGCCATGGCTGCGGGATGCCGTGGGGAGTCAGCACGTAGGACAGGGTGGAGAAACGAGCAAGTTGCAAAATTCACTTTTCCACCATTTTCTCTCTCAATTACATTTGTGGAGGCGGAATTTGGGATGAGGATGGCGCGGATGGGAGGAGGGAGGGCGGAATTCGTGTGGCTGTGTGTGTGCTGTAAGATGCCCCCGCAATCCGCGTTTCTGGGAAGAGCGCGGGGGGGATTTGATGGAAGGGATTTTGGATGAGGGGACGATGGACGGACAAGATGATCGCTGTTCCGTTCCAGTAGGACGGGACGGGATCATGGGATCATGTGGGATGGGATGGGGTGGTGAGAATTTATTACAACGCGACATACAAGGACCTGCACGGCTTCAACACTTTCTGTGCGGGCAGGTGAGGCTTGATGAAGGTACACAAGGTATCTGGTAACCAAGAGAGGCGTCTCAAAACCGAGTTTGATTGGGGCTGAGAGAGCGTTCTTGATCGATTAAATTTCTAATCTTGGAAGGTTATTTGGGGTGTTTCTGCCGATATGAACGCCATTAGATTCGCCCTCAACTGAACGGGAAGGTGAAATATGATGAGTGTGGCACGTAAAAGTTTCTACAGTCAGTTCAACGTCAAGCATCTCGGAGATTCTTTTCAGCAACTGGCACAAGGACAGCCCCAAACCGAATCTGCATACAGGTGCCAGCTTGTGGATGTCGTTACATCCGAGGGAGAGACAATCATTTTCCTAGTTCCTGCGGTCGAGCCAAGCTCAGCTTGATCCTCAGCCACGAAATGCTCGAAGAGGGCAATTAAACCCGTTATTTTCCAGCCCCGATTAAACTCGTTAGTTTCCAACATGATCTGTAGTATAACTAACTGTACGATAGAAAAACCACACTTATCACACATATCTGAAGTGTTTTTGCACTTTCTTCATATTGGCTGCACGGAAGTGATTGAGTGTGAAGACGTCTTTATGCTAAAGAACAATTGTGCATCAGCTGTTAATATTCCGTGTTCTGCATTAACACTTCAAAAGATATGCAGTACCACTCTGGATAGTGCGTACCCAAACTGAACACGCTATACCTAAGTGCGCTTAGCAACAGCAGCAACTCTATATTGCCGGGACGGTATCATTGTTATCCTTGAGCTCTTTGGTCTCCCAACTGTCAGCGGATGCTGAGATTTTGCACACAGGAGATGGGAACAGAGGGGATAACGTTAATTCAATAGCTGTGATCCACCAACAGGTGGATAACAAAAAAAAATATATCCTACTCCCACCCCTCTCGCCATCCCAACCTCTACCCTGCTCTCCCCGCTCACCCCACTCTGCGCGTCAATCACTCTTTTTCACCCCCCCTCTCTTACCATACGTGGCATGCTTGACCGCAGCTGCCATGAGCCTGCGCTGCAGGATGGCAGCGATGGCAAGGAAGAAGGCGCACATGCCAAACATGGCCGTGATGGGGAAAGCACTCACCTGCACATGGGGACACAAAAGAGCAGCACGAAAAACACACAGACAAACACTTGCAGGCTTTTTAGCAAGTGTCCCCCAGTGCAAGAAGCAGGAGCGGAGAGTTACCACCAGCACTAAAAAAACAAACAGCAGCGGCAGCAGAGCGGTACGATCTGTGTAGCATCAGGGCAGGAGAGGCTCACGTTGTAGAGGACAACGCAGACGAAGATGTTGAGGGGGATGCGGAAGAAGTTCATGATGGTGGCGCGGGACTCCTCTGGGATGTACTGCGACCGCATCTTCATGATGGACGGCCAGAAGATGCCCACGCACACCTCAAACAGGCAGAACCCCACCAGCTGCACCTGCCCTCCCGCCGTGATGCCGCCGCCCTCGGGGGGAGATGGCTCAATGAACATCTGCATGGCAACAACGGCCAGTCAGCACCAGGAATTCTCAAAGCCCTCAGTTTGCTTCACGCTCCGAAATCAAATCACCAATCCACCGAACAATATCTGCGCTTTGAAGACATGCGGGCGTGGACCCACTGCAAGGGTAAATGGAGTTGGGCGCGGGAGTCCTTACAAAGTTGAAGATGGGAACGAGCAGCGACACAGATGCGACGGAGAAGACGATCTGCATGTACAGCTCCACGCGCAAGTTCTGGCGCGCCATGAGGCGCGACGCGAGCGACGAGCCAATCATGGAGGAGAGCATGAAGGTGGCGAAGATGAATCCGTGCGGGATGCGCTGGTTGTTGGGCGACAGCGCGGGTGTCCACAGGAACACGAACGTGTACATGCTGCCCTCGAACAGCGACTGGATCGCGCCCAGCAGGGCGATCTTCTCGTCTGCATTACGGGACATGCACAGGGAGCAACTGATGAGAAGAAAGAACGCAGTGCTCAAATGCGACAGCTGCAGCAGATTGCCGTTGCACCATGGCACATGTGCTCACGATTGGCGGCGCGCAATGGGTGTTATGAGAAGGCAAGAAAGCTCACCAGACGTGATGGCAGAGAGGGCATTCTTAAACTGCGTTGCGAGGCCCTTGTTCTCGTTCGCGTCGCCGTAATTCTCGGGCCACGTGTAGATGATTACCGCCATGCCGATGCCCAGCAGCACGGCCGCCGCGTCGAAAGGCGCGACGGGCCCCAGCGAAAGGTCCGTGACGAGCGTGTTGGCGATGAGTCCAGCGAGGATGGCGACGAGCCCGTTACCCAGGAAGATGGCCTTGGAAAACGTCACCGACAGCCACTGTGGGTCGTACCCGCGCTGCAGCACCGGATAACAAGGCGAGGGAGACAGAGGAGGAAAAACAGTGAGGCTTTTGACAGGGAAGGGGAGGGAGGTACGGCAGATGAGGGGGAGGGGAGGGGGGAGAGGGCGAGGGCGGAAAGGAATGGAGGAAAGGGCGGGGAGAGGGTAGAAGCATAGAAAGAGAGTGAGACAAGGAGTAGAGAGAACATGGTATCAACAGACATAACAAAAAATCTGCAACGCGAGGAAAACGTTTGAACGCGAAGGAAAGAACCACATGACGGGAAGAAGGTACCATTCGCTTCGCGCAGCGGACCGACATTAAAACCACAAGTTCTTACAAATGTATGTATGTGAGAAAGTAATTCGAATTCTTCCTTCCTCAATACGTTTCTCTGAAGTTGTCAGATTAACTCGTAGGTCATTCGTGTTAAAATAATTTCATAGGTGCACTTGTTAATCTCGTACGTTTTTCCACTGGGCAACGCGTACTTGTTCCCCGCAGCCCTGCGCGTGGCGTACCTTGAAGTGCTCCGCGACGAGCCATGACTCAAAGGCGGAGAAGAGCAGCGAGGTGGCGATGCCGCCGAGCACGCGGCCCACCATGAGCACGCCGTACTGCGGCGAGTGCTTGGTGAAGCAGCTCAGGATGTACGTGATGCAGTACACGATGCTCGCGTTGCGACGACCACTGCAACCGGGACAGAGCAGTCGAACGACACGGTGTGAGCAAGGACGGCGGTGATGTTGAATGAGGAACGGCGAACAATTAAAAAAAAAAGAGACGTGGAAGAATGATATGATCAAGCAGCAAAACAACCTACTAGCATATTCAAAATCATAGGCCACTTCACTTACTGCTTATCAGCAAGAGAACCGACGATCGTTCCAAAAATCATGGATGAGCCGAATCCCGCAATGAAGAGGCGACCGATGTCGCCTTGGTCGTAGCCGTAGTGCTGGTACAGCGCGTACACGTACGGGCCTTGCAGCCAGTCGCCCGCTGCACCACCATTCACATGACAGTTTCCACCCCGTTAAACAATGACGCTGCGTAAATCATTAGGTGAAATGGGTTATATCCGCGAATGTGTGACAGGGACATAATGAAACGATTTGAGATTCGATAAAACGATCAGTGTGGGAAAGTACGTACCCATCATGAGGCAGTAGACAACGAGGTAATTGTTCTTGAAGCTCTCGAACGTGGAGCTAGTCTGCACGCGGTCATTCTGGCCCTTGCTGAATTCCAGCCCGCAGCACGCTACCAGCAGCAGTGCGAAGAGGATGTAGAAGAAGATCTCCATGGTGGGCCCTGCCGCTGCCGCTTCTCCTGCTGCTGTCGCTGCTGTTTTTGCTGCTGCAGCAGCGGTAGTGGTGCTACCTGGATCTGACTTTCCCTGCTGAAAATCTGACTGGGAGCTCTTCAAGCAGCAACCGTCCCTTGTCCACTGATGAAACAGAGGCAAGCTTGATGAATTCCCTGTAAGCAGACAAGCACTCGCTGAATTCCCTCTAAACAACCTCGGGAATTCGGCAACCCAGATTCTGTCACACCAAGCCCCCTTGCGGGGGGAACTCCATCCGAACCAGAGTCACTCTGCCTTACCTCGCATCGTTTGCCACGTGTACCGAGCCTGACTCGGCTGACTCAAAGTCTCGCTGTGACGCGCGAAAAGTCGCTTTGGACCAGACCAAACTTCGTTCGCGGGCCTTTGGGAGCATGATGTGTCAGACAGCTTCGACTGACCGCTGACCCTGCCACTCTACCTGGCGGTGACGGGGGTCAAGTGTCTATTCGATATAAGCGGCGGGAGTCATGCGGCACCCTTACATTGCAGAAATACACTCTGTCGAGTGAATGAAAGTTAGGCTAGAGTGAACAAATTTTTCCATATCAGAAAATCGAGATAGGGATAACTACTTTAGGAACTGAACCTTATGTGGACAGTTCCAGCGCCACTTGGTGTGGTAGCAGCGAACATTGCCTCGCGCGTTACGCGGTTGCTAGCAAACAAATCACTGTCACTAGTTCGCAGCAATGGAGGATAAAATTCGCACCGACGACGGCAGCGAGGAGCGGGGCAATGGTGCCACAGCCGCGGCGCTCGACGGCATCGCGAGCGGCAAGAAAAAGACCAAGAAAAAATCGAAGGGCCGCGCGGCAGGCAACGCGACGCAGCCCGCGGAAGCAGGTAGCAGCAGCAGCAGCATCGCCGCGCTGCCTAGTCAGGGCGAGGTAGCGGCTCGTTTCCACTGGCGCGTGGAGGTCAAGCCGGGCAAGGGCCGATGCGCCATCGCTAGCAAGTGAGCGCCAATTGATTTTTAACATCTTCCATGAGTTGGCGCGAGCGCTGAACCGATCGACTTGCGCTGCTGATAGCGCTGGTACCGCTCTGCGCGGAACACCCCGGTCCTCCCCTGCACTCCCGCCCGCACATACCCCTTGTCTTCGCAAGCCTTCTCTTCCCGTCGCGCGCCGATAGCATCACCCTAGCTTCCGCTCGCCGCCGTATCCCCCCTGCCCTGTACCCCGAACCTCGCTGCCCTCCTCTCCCCTCCCAGCCCCCCGCTTTCCCCTCCGTGCCTCCCCTCCGCCGGCGCCGTCCCCCGAACCCCTGAACGCGGAACCCCGCAGGTCGTTCGAGCGCGGGCAAGTGGTTCTGGCGGAGACGGCGCTGCTGTTCGTGCCGCGCGACGCGTACCATGCCGTGCTGTGCCACTGCTGCGGTCACACGTTCGGGGACAGCAGCGATGGCAGTCCTCAAGGGAGTCAGTCGTCGCCCCTCCCGTGCCATGGCTGCGGCTTCGCTGTCTTCTGCTCCGTGCGTCCCGATCATGCCACCTCAACCCCAACCCAATGCCAATGCCAATCTCATACATACTCACTACTCACCCTGTTCCAAAACTCTACCTGAACCCCCTCTTGAACCCTGACCCCCTAACTTCCCCCCTGCCCTTCCCTCCCTGTCCATCCGTCTGTCTTTGCCCCCATGTGCCATAACACACCCTTCTCTGTGTGCGCGTGCGTGTTTGTATGCGTAACCATGTGTGTTGGATTGGCATGTGCGTGTGGGCATTTTCGTTTTGGCATGTGCCTGTGGGCATGTGCGTGTTGGCATGTGCATGCTGCGGCATGCGAATCTCCCCACTCACGTGCATCCATGCACCCATGCACATGCAGGAGTGTGCGCCATCAGCGCAGCCCAGGCACAGCGCCTACTGTCCGCTCTTCCGTGCGCTGCCTGCCATTGCACGAGCAGCAGACTGCTCGCCTGACCTCCTCCGCCTCCTCCTCTGCATGGCTCAGGTGCGCCCCCCTTTCCCTTTATCCCCGCCTCTCATTGCCTTGCGATGCTCTGCAACCATGCACGCCTGCACCTATGCAACCATGCACGCCTGCACCCATGCAACCATGCACGCCTGCACCCATGCAACCATGCACGCCTGCACCCATGCAACCATGCACGCCTGCACCCATGCAACCATGCACGCCTGCACCCATGCAACCATGCACGCCTGCACCCATGCAACCATGCACGCCTGCACCCATGCAACCATGCACGCCTGCACCCATGCAACCATGCACGCCTGCACCCATGCAACCATGCACGCCTGCACCCATGCAACCATGCACGCCTGCACCCATGCAACCATGCACGCCTGCACCCATGCAACCATGCACGCCTGCACCCATGCAACCATGCACGCCTGCACCCATGCAACCATGCACGCCTGCACCCATGCAACCATGCACGCCTGCACCCATGCAACCATGCACGCCTGCACCCATGCAACCATGCACGCCTGCACCCATGCAACCATGCACGCCTGCACCCATGCAACCATGCACGCCTGCACCCATGCAACCATGCACGCCTGCACCCATGCAACCATGCACGCCTGCACCCATGCAACCATGCACGCCTGCACCCATGCAACCATGCACGCCTGCACCCATGCAACCATGCACGCCTGCACCCATGCAACCATGCACGCCTGCACCCATGCAACCATGCACGCCTGCACCCATGCAACCATGCACGCCTGCACCCATGCAACCATGCACGCCTGCACCCATGCAACCATGCGCGCCTGCACCCATGCAACCATGCACGCCTGCACCCATGCAACCATGCACGCCTGCACTCATGCAACCATGCACGCCTGCACCCATGCAACCATGCGCGCCTGCACCCATGCAACCATGCACGCCTGCACCCATGCAACCATGCACGCCTGCACCCATGCAACCATGCACGCCTGCACCCATGCATGCCCTTGCCATGGTGAGCTGCTCCTTCCTCCCACTTCGCCTCACAACCGACTCATCATTTCTCACAGCTTCCTCCCACCCATCCTCGTTACTTGCTTCTGTCCTCCCCACTTCTTCTTTTCACACTCTTTCTTCCTTTCTATCTCCTAACCGTCCTCGCTTCCACCGCTCCTCTTCCCGGTGCATGCAACAGGTGCAACACGGTGCAGCTCAGAAGCCCTCATGTCTCCATGCGCTGCATCAGCCGTCCAAGGCCTCTCCTACCACCGCTCTCAACCCCATCACACCCACCTTGCAGGCAAATCACCACATTACCGGGTTACCATATCACCACAGTACCGCTTTACCACATTATGCTGTGTGCAGTTTCATTGTTGCCCATCTACGTCGATGTCCCAGCGTGCCCTCTCTCAGTGTAAGATGACTTTGAGGCGCCTCAAAGCTCATCTAAGTCTGCGCCTCCATGAATTCCCTCCCTCTGCCCTCCCTCTGCCCTCCCTCTGCCCTCCCTCTGCCCTCCCTCTGCCCTCCCTCTGCCCTCGCTCTGCCCTCCCTCTGCCCTCCCTTTACCCTCCCTTTCCCCTCTCTGCCCTCTCGCTGCAGGACGCATTGAGTCTGACCGCCATGGACACCTCACAGCAACCTGAGTGGGCAGCGGCAGTGGCTGCCGCCTGCTCTGCTCTCTCTACCGCTGCTGCTTCCCTGCCGCCTCTGGTGGAAGGACAGGAGGGGGCGCAGGGAGGAGGGGGTGAAGGGGAGGCGAGCAGAGGAAGAGAAGGAGGTGCAATCAGGTCACTTCTTCCAGACACAGGTGAGATGCACGTTCAGGATCTTGATTACAATCACAATTAGGATTGCAAGCTTATGCTGATGCTGATGCTGATTCTGCTGCTGTTGCTGTTGCTGATGCTGATGCTGATGCTGATGCTGATGCTGATGCTCCCCCCCTGGCTGTGGCCCCACAGCCACACTGCAGCGGTGGGCAGCGCTGATGGGAAACAACGTGCATGGCATGGGCGCACACGGCCCTCTCAACACCGACACGGCTCTCGGCCTCTTCCCCTTCGTTTCCATGCTCAACCACTCCTGCCGGTATGCTGCACCCCGCAGTGAATAATGTTCTTATTTGGGGTCCATGCTGCATTACTGCGTATCCCGAGTCTCGGCTGGCTTTGCACCGTCTCCCATGCTATATAAACATGCAGTGACTGAGACAGCGGGGGAGAGAAGGCTGCATTGAGTTCTGACATTGCTTCGGGACTTCCACAAGTGCTCGTGATGCAGGGAGTGCCTTTAATAGCATTGGGACGGGACCTTGCGTGTGGGGTGTATGTGTGTGCGTGTGTGTGTGTGTGTATGTGTGTGCGTGCGTGTGTGCATGCAGCCCTAACTGCTGCTTTGCCTCACAGGGCAACACCATGGTGGTGAGGGCTACGACCCACATCGACAAGGGCACAGAGGTCAGTGAGTGTGTTTTGAGACGTCTCAAAACTGCTCAGTGTGCGCGCACTGCTGTGCCTGTGCCTGTGCCTGTGTATGTATCACATGCACACCACGTCAGCAGAAACTCTCCACTAGATCATGCCACACTGACCTGCCTGCACCGTTTACACAATGACTCTCATTGGTCACCACTAACCACCACTGACCACCACTGACCACCACTGACCACCACTGCATGCTGCTCGCTGCACCTCCCCTCTCCCCCCACAGCTGTGTGTGTCCTACATCAACCTGTACGAGAGCAGGGAGAGCCGGCAGCAGCAGCTGCTGGAGTCCAAGCACTTCATCTGTGCGTGCGACCGGTGCTCCGAGCCCCTCGCTCTCTCCTCCGACCGCCTCCTAGAGGTATGTCTTCCTGCTCTCTCTCTTGCTCTCTCTCTTGCTCTCTCTCTTGCTCTCTCTCCTGCTCTCTCTCTCCTTCTCCCTCTCCTGCTCCCTCCCTGCTCCTGCTCTCTCCCCTCACCTCCTCTCTCTCCGTCTCGCCCCTTGAGCCGCACATCAGCTTGCTCCAGTTACTGTTCTCTCCATCTCCACATTTTTAGCTCTCTATATTAATCTCAATCTCTGCATCCCAATCGCCCCACCCACACCAGGGGGTTCTTTGTCGCAGCAGCGGCTGCACAGGCACTCTCTATCGCACCTCTCCCCGCCGCTTCCACCCCTCCTCTGCCTCCCCCGCACCTGTCGCCTCCCCCTCTGCCCCGCCACTGTCTGCGAACGAGGGAAGATTGAGTGAGCGGCAGCAGTGGCAGTGCGATGCATGTGGTGTGATGGTTGCAGAAGAGGGTCAGGCGGAGGAAGGGGCAGAGGGGAGGGGGGATGAGGGGGAAGAGGCAGGGGATGGGGATGGGGAGGAGTCTGGGATGGAACCCACTGTTGGAGCAACCAAGGGCACGGGAAAAGGGAAGGGCAAGGGCAAGGGGAAAGGGAAAGGGAAAGGCAAGGGGAAAGGGGGCAAGGGGGGCGAGCGAGAAGGCGGAGGCGGAGGAGGGGGGGGTGCGGGGGGGGGGGGGGAAGGGCAAGGGGAGTGGGTGGGGGTCAGGGGGGCCGTGGGAGGTGGAGGGTGCAGCGCGGGCGGCCGTGCAGCAGTGCATGGCGCTGTATGAGAGTCCGCACCGTGACTCCAAGGCGTGCCTGGCTGCCCTCTCCTCCTTCCAGTCCACATTCTCCAAAACACTGGTACTGACGAGCCATTGCTGCCCCTGCTGCTTTGCTTTGCGCCATTCTCTTCACTCGCCTTCACCATGTCTCGCTTGTTGTAGCTGCATCGCTCCTACTCTCTCCTCTCCACATTTGCTGCATTCTCCACCCTCCCCACCCTCCCACACTCCCCACCCTCCCCGCCCGCCCATCCCCCCTCCCAGCACCCGCGCCACGTGCTGCTATTCGACAGTCTGACCCCATCGCTGAACTGCGCCCGAGCCCTCTCGGACTACACACAGGCCATGCGCCACGCACTGGCCCTCGTGGATGGGCTCTCTGCCATGGCGCCCTCTGCTGTGCTCGAAGCTGCCAACTTCGCCCATGCTGCCAGTGAACTCGCTGCACTGCGTGCTGCATCCGCTGCTCCTGCCCTTGAGCACCGACTCACCAAACAGGTCTGATGTGCGAGTGGGCAATGGGGGGAGTGGGGGAGTATGGGGATGTGGGATTGTGGGAGTGTGGGAGAGTGAGGGTGTAAGATGGTGATATTCTCACTCTAATTCCCGTTCTGTCTCAAGTGAGCCACTTCAGCTTGCATACCAGCCTCGTTCCTCGAGTGTCTTCTTCGCATGCAATGCGTTGTGGTTGGTGCAGAGTGAGGAGTGGGCGAGCAAGACAAGGGAGCTGCGCATTGTTGGGCTGGGAGTCGACAATGTCGCCTGACAAACATACCATCATCCCCTCCACTGGATCCAAGATGAGGCTTCCCATCTCATGTCTTGCATTGTCCCTGTCGAAGTCCACACAATCTTCATAGATGTGCCACCTTTGTTATTTTTCATGGATCTTCAATAATGAGTGGCAATCAGTTACAGTATTGATAGATGCAGAGAATAAGAGCATTGTGCTGTGCCAATAAACTGTTCCGAACAGTGACCACAGTGCCATGCAATGATCAAAGCTTGAGCGTCACGATACCTTGTGACATTAGCCACTACTGCTGTGTGGTATGTGGGTGGTACACAAACAAGATGGCCCTTGGCCTTCCATGCACTACCCCATTACTCCTTTCCCAGCACTGTGTGCACATGGCCTCAACTGTAACAGCCAGGATATCAAGCCATTCGCACCATCAACCACCATCCATCAAAAGACCATCCATCCCCTGTCCTCAGTCCAGCTTGCACCCCTATCGCTGGCTCTCAATGGACGCATGCCAGTCGCCAGGCAGCTTGGAGAGCAACGGCAGGTCTCCTCCCACAGCGCGGTCCAGCAGCGCCTCCAGCCCCTCCCCCACACCCCCTGCATGCACTGCAAACTTGGCGCGCTTGGCATTGATGATGGCCACGGCGGGGGGGGCAGAGATGCCGTGTGGCTCGAGGAAGAGAGCGGCAAAGGGGGGGGATGCGGTGGTGTCAATCCAGTAGAAGCGGAGGGGGTCCCCGTGGTACTTGAGGGCTAGCTGCTGCAGCTGCGTCACCTGGTTAGAGGGGTATGTGGATGTGCATAGGCATGGACACATGTGGATGTATATGGACGCGCATTATGGAGGCTTGCAGGGAGAGACAGATGCACGCGCAATGCATGAGTCAGCGACGGAGTAATTGAGGAAGACAGTAGCACAGGACCAGGTATGCAGAAAGAGCAAGCAGTTATGCAGGCAGTGGACACCTTGGGAAAGGGAAGGAGAGGAACATACAGCGAAGAAAATCAGAACATTGCTGCAGGGACACAGATGCACCTGCTGAGCGCACCTGAGCAGTGTCAAGGCCGTTGAGCAGTGCGATGACACAGAAGCCTTTCCCCTTCACACACCCCGCCTCCACCTCCTTGGCCTTTGTCAGCTGCTGCACCCCTGCTGCCTTCCCTGACCCTGACCCTGACCCCCCACCACTGCTGCTGCTGCTGCTGCTGCTGCTGCTGGTGGTGGGCTTGGAAGAGGAAGATGAGGACTTGCTGGAGGAGCCTGGCTTGGACTTGGGGAGAGCGTACTGGACTCACACATGCGCCCGGCCACACACACACACACTCGGAGACGCATACGCATACACATGCACATACGTATACGTATACGTACACCCAAACATGCACAGCAGGCACAATTGCACATACAGACAGCAGCATGGGAGAGAATTAAGCATCAGACGCAGAGCATGTGAGTGCGCATGCAGTGTCAGGCATAGAGGCAGGCGGAGAAGCACATGTAGCACTGGAATTAAGTGGTTTATGCAAACAACTGCGTGGGAGGAAACGCATGCGTGTTGGCACATGGCATGGCAGCAGCGCGTCACCTGCTGCAGGAACTTGAGCAGCGGCTTGTGCTTCAGCTCACCATCATACCGCGGCACATCTCCCTCACCCTCTCCTCCGCCCTCTCCCTCCTCCCCCTCTTTCAGCGGCAGCACCAGCAAGCTCGGCAGCTGGCCCTGCTTCACGCCATACTGCGCCATGAGCCCCGCCTCCTTGCTGCTGCGCACCTCCCCCAGCGCCATGCGTCCTTTGAGGTCAATGGCAAGGGCTTTGTACAAGGGAGTGGTGGTGGACTTGGCTGTGAAGAGCAGCGCCTTGGGCAGGTGTGCGTTGGCGGAGAGGAAGGTAGGGAGCGAGGAGGAGGAGAGCACGGTCACGAGGTTGGGTAGCGCCGCCACTGTTGCGTCTGACATGGCCTTGGCCGTGCGCGCACCGTTGTACTGCGGTTGAGGGGCGGGTGGGAGCGAGGGGAGGGACGATGGGGACGGCGAGTGAGGCAGGGCCGGGGGTGGGGGTTGCTGTGGCTCTTATGGAAAGTGTTGAATTGTACTTCTCAATGAATAGACGGAGATGTTACATATTGAGACATACAATACAACACGGGAGAGAGCATGGCATGGCCTGGGCTCACGTCTTCTGGTCGTTTCTTGTTGGCGCCGAAGAGCTTGAGCGTGGGGAAGCCGCGGATGCCGAACTCCGATGCGATGGACTTGTGCTCGTCGCAGTTGATCGCACCGAACCGCACGATGCCCTGATGATGCCCGTCATGCCATAATTCCGGTGGGAAGAAAGTGGAGAGAGGGAGAGGGGGGGGGAGAAGGGGGGAGGGGGAAAAGGGAGACAGGAAAGCGCATGGACGGACGAGAATGGCTGGCTCGGGCTGCGAGGGTGGTGGGGATGCAGACAACGGAAAAACATCGTGCTTGGGATGAAAACTGGTCTCGAGTGTGGGAATGGAACGGCAACAAGCGCACTGGGCGTAAGCACTGACCTTGGTGGCGGTGGCTGCTTTGATGTAGTCCGGCTTCAATCTGTACAGCGCATCCCCTCATCCCACCCCCAAGCACCCCGCAACAACATCATCGCCACACGCAAACATGACAACAGGATTTGGCTGTGCGGAAGCGGAAAGGGAAGTGGTTTCGTGCGGCGACGGGCAGCGAAAACGATCGTGGTTAGCGATACGGAACGCTTGTTGCGGGGCTAATCCAATCAAGTTATGTATCGTATTGCGAAATAATTCCCAACAGCTAACAATCAAAACGTAGCCGGCAGCACGCGTACCGTTGACAGTGGCCACACCAGGGCGCGTAGAACTCGATCATCCACACATGATCGTCCTGCACCACCTTGCTGCGAAAGTTGCTCGCCGTCAGCTCGATCACATCCGTGCCCGCGTAAAAGTCCTGGCCATGCACCACCGCTGCTGACAACGCCGCTGCCGAAGCTACCACGGCTAACAGCAGCCGGTAAGCGCGCGGAGGGGAGGCTGAGTGGAGGGATCGCACCGCCATGGTGATCGATGTCACTCAGAAGGAGAAACGGAAGCTAGGAAATCGAAGTGAAAATGGTGATGCTTGGATTTGTTGGTCGCTTGGAGAGTTGATTCAAATGGAGGTGGAGGGGAGATCTGGGGGAAAGGAACGGTTAGGAAAACATCGAGGCTGACGTGGTGCTTCGAGAATGACAAGATCGAAAGCAGCGAGGAAGATCGAACATTCGACTGGTATACCCAGCAGAAGGTGTCGCGCTGAGAGGAAAACACTGCATTAATTAAGTGGTACATCTTTTCTATGTGTTACGGGTGCAATGAATCGAAATAGCGAGAATTGCACTGAGGTGTCAAACGAGTACAAAATGTGAGTGAAGGCATGAGCGAACATTTATACCCGAAACATGCAAACGGTAACGCGGTGCGTGCGAGCTAGCTAGTACTACGCTGGAAGCGAGGCTCGGGCTAGTCCCGAAGCGTAGGCCGACACGGCCAGGCCAGCAGTGCGATGTTTGGTGAAACAGTGCGCGCGAAGTCGGCGAAGCCCCGTTAGCAGTAACGGGCGAACAACGGCTGCTGCTGTACGCGATGTTGCAGGGTGCGCTAAGGAATATCGAGAAAATTCCTTACACTATGCCTTCTTTTCTGAAACCTATGGTATGTTGGGCTGAGTGCCCCTTAGGATCTTTGGTAGGGTTAAACTCTGAGTAGAGTGATGTAGTAGCGGAAGCGTTTAAATGAAGTCCTTGAACCACCTTGCGCTGGTATGTGAGGGCAAAGTAAGTTGTTTAAAACAAGCAAGTACAAAGGTTTATATAAGAGTACAAGGAATACGAAGAGATATAATTTAACTGTTTTACTGTTGCGGTTCGATACAGTGCGACTCGGGCAACTGCTCAATGTCGAGTCAGTTGTGTGTCCTTGCTGTCGCGCTGCATTTGTCAAGTCAAAGGTCCCTGACCTTTGACTTTCGCGTAACCTCCAGCGGTTACTTCAACCTCCGAGGGTTGACTCGCTGGTGCCTCGATATGCTCTGCTTCGCTTGTGCCTTGGTGTTTCGACACGACAGAGGCGCTTAAGATTGTTTGTTCCCAACACTCCCCTTCGCTTCTGGAGTGTCGCTGCTGGTGACGTGGCTTTGTCCAGTCAGCAGCATGCAGTACTCGAACTTCTGTTTTCCGAGCTTCTTGGTCAAGTAGTCAGCTGCCATCTCGGACGTGGGACAGTAGGATAGTTCAAGTCTCCCCTTCTCAATCTCGTCTTTCACGAAGAAATATCGCAGAGCGATATGCTTCATTCTGTTTGCGAATCCATTTTTGTTGGCGATGCGAATTGCAGATTGGTTGTCGCAGAACAGAGTGAAGTTGGGTAACTCGGCTAACTTCGCTTCTTCCAGCAGCTCGCGAAGATAGAGTCCTTCCTTGGTGGCTGAGCAGAGTGCAATATATTCTGCTTCAGCGGACGAGAGAGCAATTAATTCCTGCTTACTCGATTGCCAGGAGATCGGTCCGATAGGTTCGAGGCGGTAGATGTAGCCAGTGCGGGAGCGCCTATTGTCTGAGTCGCCAGCGTGATCAGCGTCGACGTAGCCGATTAATTTAGTCGGCGTGGTTGTGTTCTTGTAGTAGGTTAGGCCGATCGTTGAGGTACTTACGAAGTAGTAGAGAGCGCGGTCGAGCTTTGCCAGGTGTTCTGCTTCAGGCTTCTTGAGGTAGGTGGCGAGCTGGCTTGCGGAATAGGATAGATCTGGGCGGCAGGTGACAGCTGCGAAGAAAAGGCAGCCCAGCTTTCTCTGGTAGTCGCGTATCCCGGCGGATTTGAGTAGAGAGGATCCTTCCTTGTGGTTTCCTGTCACGTAGCGGTAGGGCGTAGAGATGGTGGTAGGTGTGAGCGCGAAGCGTTTGGCGATGGTGTCGGCGTACTTAGCGGCGTTGAGGTAGATCGCGCCTTCTTCTTCCCGAATGTTTAAGCCGAGGTACTGTGTGACGGTAGAGGAGACCGTGAGTGCGAGATCCCTCTGTAGCTCCCCTTCGAACCAGGTGGTGATGTCGTCAGTGGAGCCGATGTAGAGTAGGTCGTCTACGTAGACGATCAGCAGAATGTAGTCGGTGTCTTTAGTGAGTCGGTACATTCCTTGGTCGTGAGGTAGTTGGCGGAATCCGATGCGAATGAGGCGAGCGTGTAGGTACTGTTGCCATAGCCGCGGAGCTTGCTTGATCCCGTAAAGTGATTTTAGCAGTTGACAGACTTGGTTAGGTTCCCCGTTGGTACCGTGTGGGAGCACGAGGAAGATTTCCGCGTCGACAGGTGCGTAGAGGAACGCGTTGGCGACATCGATTTGCCGTAGCTTCCTTTTCTTCATGGCGGTGATCGCGAGGAGGATTCGAAGTGAGGTATGTCGGCTAACCGGGGCGAATGTCTCGGTGAAGTCCCGTCCGTGCTCCTGATCGAATCCACGCACAACCCAGCGTGCTTTGAACTTCTCAATTGTGCCGTATGCTTTTGTTTTAACGCGGAAGACCCATTTCCCGGTGAGAATGGTCTTGTTCCTTGCCACGCTGATGGGGACAACTTTCCAGGTGTTCCGTTCCTCCAGCGCCTTTAACTCTCTGTCCATGGCTTCACGCCATTTTTCCCTGTGTTCCCCCCCCAGAGCCTGCTGAACCGTCGCAGGCTCCTTAGGAAGAGTGTTGCCGTGGACTGCGGTGACGAGTCCGAGGATCTGCAGTCCAGTCTGTGAGTAGCGGGGAAGAGTTGCATCCTCGGGATAAGCTGCTTCATCTCCCGCTTCTGGATCAGGTATGAAATTCGGTCCTACCCATTCTGCTTCGTTGGTGTTGACTGTCGCAGGTATTACGTAACCGTTGTCGGCGAAGTAGTAGAAGGTTTCGGCGTTGACACTTTCGCGAGGGTTATCTTCGTCCATGGGGACGTCGACGGAGCTGAACAGATGGGGTCCAGCTTCTTCTGATGCGTTGGCCACATTCTGCTCGTCCCAGTCAGCTTCGTCCGCTGCTGAGGCGAAGGCTCGGTCACCACGAAAACAACCTGTGGGATCTTGGTCCTCTTGCAGGTTGGCAAGGTATGTCTGGAGCGTGAGTCGTTCGTAGAAAATGACGTCGCGTGCTGCTACTGTTTCCTTGGAGTGGACGTCAAAGATTTTCCACGCGTTGTAGTTCTTTTCGATGCCGAGGTGTAGTCCCCACTGTGCGCGTTGAGAAAATCGGCCCGCTCGTGCTACTGGGGGTCGGTACTGTACCATGCATCCGAAAAATCGTAACATTTTTGTGCTGCCCTGTTTCCCTGTCCATAGCAGATGCGGTGATGCGTTGTTTGGAAGCGATGATGACGACAGCAAGTTGTGCAGCATGACGGCGTGGTCCATTGCTGCAGGCCACTAGTGGTTGGGTAGCCGCATGCCACGTAACAGTTTGCGCATGCTGTTCTGCAGAGTCCTGTTCATTCTTTCTGCTACACCTTGCTGCTGATGGGCGTAGGGAAGAGAGAGGAGCTGCTTGATTCCCCTTTCCGCCAGGTACTGCTTGAATCGCTGAGAGGTGTATTCTCCTCCTCCGTCAGACTGGAAGCTTTTCAGCTTTACGCCCGACTCTCTTTCTGCTACTGGTAGCCAAACAGCGAATGCTTCGAGGACCATGTCGCGCCTGGGTAGGTTTAGATGCCAGACGTAACGGGTGGCGGCGTCGATGAAGGTGATTGTGTAGTTGTTCTTTACTTGTCCTGGTTCCCGATTGTACAGGATGTCGCTATACACCTTTTCGAGTGGTGCGTACGCGGGTGCGCTCGGGTTGTGATGAGGAGCGAACGGCCGATGTGATAAGTCGGCTTCGGGGCAGGTAAGACATGTTCCTCGTGCCCGTTGAAGTTCTCTGCCGTCGAGTAGTAGTAACGAGTCCTTGTCAAGGACTCCTGCTCTTATTGTGTTGCTTAACACAGTGTTGCTTAGGTGTCCCATGCGTGCGTGCCAGATGTCTTCGGAGGCGCGGTGTCCGGGTGAGCGTCGATACGCGTCGGAGTTGGAGTAGAAGCTGGCGGTGAAGTTTGCGCTTCTATGGACTTCCCGTTGAGCCGGATTCAACTGCTGTGCGGGTGTTGGTGGTGCTTCGTCAACGAGGACTGGTGTCGTTGTTGCTGCTACTGTTGTTGTTTCTGCTGCTGCCGATGATGTCTCTGCTGCTGCCGATGATGTCTCTGCTGTTGTCGATGTTGTCTCTGCTGCTGCCGATGTTGTCTCTGCTGCTGCCGATGTTGTCTCTGCTGCTGCCGATGTTGTCTCTGCTGCTGCCGAATGTTGTATTGTTACTAACGCACGTGTTCGTTCTGCTTCAGGAATGGTATGTGAATACCAAAAGCCTTCCGGACTGAAGTCAGGGTCGAGATCCGGCGGGTGCGTCCAAGATGTGAAGGTGACGATCCCGTCACTGTCTGCGGTGCCCAGGTCTGGGACGAAATCGAGAACGAAGATATTGTTCTTCAGGACCGCCTTTCCGATGTAGAGGCCGCCCTTCCCGTGGTACAGCTTGAACTCCTGGGTGGTACTGTCGGCTTCCAGATGTATGCCTTTCGCCATCAACTGACTGAAGCTCAGTAAGTTGTAGCCAAGTCCTTCTGCTATTAGGACTTTGGACATTTGTAGCATGACATTCGTCTCTCGCGACTGAAGTTGCACTACTCCTTGTCGTCGTGTGCGCAGGTTCTGATTATTGGCGATAGTGATGACGACTTCTCGTTGAAGTTGGTGCTCGCGTTGAACGAAACGTCCTGAAGAGCACATATGTTGTCCGCAGCAACTGTCCAAGAACCATGTATCCTTCCCGGACGGCTCGCTTTGAGCGATGGCGGCGTACGTCAGGTTCGGTTGAAGTGACTCGCGGCAAGGCGTGCTGTTGTCGAGTTGTTCTTCTGGTGAGTAATGTGGTGGTGACTCAGTTACGCAGGAGTCACTCAGCCTTGCCATGCAGCTGACGATGTTTTTTGTTCCTTTCGCAGGTTGTACCGTCGATGTTGTTGAGACTTGTACTGAAGTTTTCGGATTTGCTTGCGTTGAGGCGACTTGACTGCTTGAAGGGCGAAGTTGGCGTTGCGGCGACGTTGACTGTTGTCGATTCGGGCAGTGCGTACGAGGATGCCCTAAAGTCTTGCAGAGGTGGCAGAACGGAGGTACGATTTTCGGTCGATTGTTGTCGTTGTTGTGGCGCCGCTGAGTGTGAAACGCGAATTCGGGCACTGATACCTTTCTCTTGTGTCGTTCTTCTTGCAGGTCCATGTCTTGCTGCTCGGCGTGGAGTTCGGCGCAAAGTGCTGCTTCAGAAATTTTCCCTGTCAGAATTATATTCTTATACCTGCATGTAGTTCTAGCTGTAGTGTAGATATGAACTTTATAGGTGGTGCACCTCTTTCTTCACTTGTTTGCTATATGTAATCTCTTGCTATAGTGAACAATCATTCCAACTTTCTCGACCTTTCCTCCTTGGCACAAACCTCTCGACTTGCTCTTGGCCTAGGCTACTAAGCCTAGGCCGCCTTAAATCTCAACTACCTCTTAAGCTAGTATTGTAACATGGCATTAGAGCGTGTTTCGTCCTGGCCTGTGGGCCCGCCTTATGCTTCCGCTGCTGTTTTTCCGGTCGCGCGCCTAGGGCGCGTGGCGATTTTCGTCCTGTCCCGCCCCCGGGTGGCGAGTGACACCTTCTCTGCCCGTCGCGCACCCCGTGGCACGCGACGGTGCTCTAAACTTGCTCGTCGTGCGCCCTGTGGCACGCGACGGTGCCCTACAAGTCGTGCGCCCCGAGGCACACGACGGTGCCCTAAACTTGAACTTGCCCGTCGTGCGCCCCGTGGCACGCGACGGTGCCCTGCTCGTCGTGCGCCCCGTGGCATGCGCGACGGTGCCCTTGAGCCGCCGCGGAACCGCCCCTGGCGTCTGTGATGGTGTCCTGAACCGCCAAGTACCCGCCCCAGGCGCACTCGGCGGTGCCTCTGCTTCACCCCGCGCCTGCACTCCCTGCAGCCGCCCCCGACCTACCTGCACCGACCCTATGTAGCCGCTCTGCGGCTTTCTTCCCGCCCACTCCCTCCTCCTTCGTCTCCCTGCAGCCGTGGGGGGGAGGGTATGGGGGTGGCGGGTGTTGGAGTGTTGGGTAGTGTGCTTCCCTTCCCCTCCTCCTCCTTTCGTTCCCACTGCTGCAGCTGCCGCTGGGGGGGAGGGTGTGAGGGTGTGGGGGAGCTAGGGGAGTGGCACTGGGGTGGCGGGTGTGAGACCATCCAGCAGCCGTCCCTCCACCTCTCCTCTCTTCCCCCCTCTGCTGCTCCTGCAGCAGTGTGGGGGGGAGGGGGAGGGGGAGGGTGAGGAGATGGAGGGGGTGACCAGCCAGAGCCAGCCCGCCTCCTCACTCTCCCTGCTGCCCCTCCTGTGGTTGTGGGGGGGAGAGGGTAAGGGGGTGGCAGGAATTGCTTGCTGTCGACTTGCTGTACCTGCTCTGTTACTATACCTGCTGTTGCTGTTTTATCAGTCTGTGGTGTACCCCTGCAGGTTGTGTTTTGCACTTAGCTATTCCTGCATGCAGTTACGGGGGGATGTCAGAATTATATTCTTATACCTGCATGTAGTTCTAGCTGTAGTGTAGATATGAACTTTATAGGTGGTGCACCTCTTTCTTCACTTGTTTGCTATATGTACTCTCTTGCTATAGTGAACAATCATTCCCAACTTTCTCGACCTTTCCTCGGCACAAACCTCTAGACTTCCTCTTGGCATAGGCTACTAAGCCTAGGCCGCCTTAAATCTCAACTACCTCTTAAGCTAGTATTGTAACATTCCCGTGGGCTCGTAGTATGGCGCGAGTGGAGCGCCAGTGAGGACCAAGACCGCCGATGACAACCGTGACGAAGGCGTCCTCTGAAATCGATCCTCCACATCGAAGAAGCTTGTCGCGCAGCTCGCGGCAGCGACTGATATACGCCATTCCCTTCTCGCCTGGTTTCATTTCGATTGTTGTCAGTTGCGCCATTAACCGACTTTGGTTTACGCTGTCTGTTGTTTGATACAGGCTCTTCAAGTGATTGTACGCGAGCTCCGCGGAGTTGCCGTAGCCTCGGTAAGACCGTATGTTTTGTTGTTGAGTTGGAGTGATGTTCCTCAGTAGTATCGTGTACGCCATCATCGATTGATAGGTGTACTGCTGCTTCTCATACTGTGTGCCGTTTGTTGGGTGTGGCAGGGACCCGTCGAAGAAGCCAAGGATTTGCGCTCCTTCCATCATCAGCTCGAATTCGAACGACCAGGTAAAGAAATCCTTCCCGTCGAAGGGTTTTGTCGTTTGCAGTTTTAGAACGTGCGCGAACTGCGACTGAACTTGTAGTGCGTCCAGCGTTCTCTCTTGTCCCGGTGCAGGTTGTGGTTGTGGCATGAAGCTGACGGAGCCGCGCTGGGGCTCGTACGGAGCGAAGGTAGGTTGCTGTTGTTAATTCCTGCGTGCGTAGGATGAGCCATCGAGACTCATGGGCGTCACGTTGTTGTTGTTGTTGCTGTTATTTGATTGCGCAGGTGCTCCTTGCTGATGCTGCTCGTAGAAGGACATGAAGGAGAAGAACTTCTCCATCATGCTTCGATCGAAGCCCGCGCCTTGGTTTGCGGGTGTTTCAGTTGACCCAGCTGCCGGTCTCGTTGTTGTGCCTTCCTCTATCTGTAGGCCAGAGGCAGGAGGTGGAGTAGGAGTAGTACCAGGAGAGCCGTTGGAGGAGCTCCTCTCCTTTCTGGTAGACATGTCTCTTGGTGAATTAGGTGTTAAGGAGAAATAATTTTAACCCTAACCAGCTCTCATACCATGTTGGGCTGAGTGCCCCTTAGGATCTTTGGTAGGGTTAAACTCTGAGTAGAGTGATGTAGTAGCGAAAGCGTTCAAATGAAGTCCTTGAACCACCTTGCGCTGGTATGTGAGGGCAAAGTAAGTTATTTAAAACAAGCAAGTACAAAGGTTTATATAAGAGTACAAGGAATACGAAGAGATATAATTAAACTGTTTTATTGTTGCGGTTCGATACAGTGCGACTCGGGCAACTGCTCAATGTCGAGTCAGTTGTGTGTCCTTGCTGTCGCGCTGCATTTGTCAAGTCAAAGGTCGCTGACCTTTGACTTTCGCGTAACCTCCAGCGGTTACTTCAACCTCCGAGGGTTGACTCGCTGGTGCCTCGATATGCTCTGCTTCGCTTGTGCCTTGGTGTTTCGACACGACAGAGGCGCTTAAGATTGTTTGTTCCCAACATGGTATACCTTCAGTTTCTTCGTGAAACATGCTACATTCGTTACGAAAACAGATCACTTAGCCACATTTGACTTTGGTACTTGTGGCAACTGCTTTGGAACAGGAAGAGGTGGTAGCAACCCTATCCGGCCTAGAAGCTTTGCAACCGTCTCTGACGGCTGGGCCCCCACAGACAGCCAGTACCTGTTGGTCAGGGGTTTGCAATGACAGCAATGAATACAAAAAGGTGACTGCTCAAGAGTGGCGGGGGGACAGATGCACAGAGTGCGAGCAATGCATGCGAGCAGTGTAGGGCTGTCGGAAAGTGGTTAATGAGAGAGCGGGGAAGGGAAATCTAGGGAGCAACAACTTATGGGACTTCTGTAGGGTGGAGGTATTGAAAGGGCTCAGTAAGGAACAACGAGACACCAATCAACAAGGCAAGGCAGGGGTGGAAAAGGATGACCGTTCAACGACAGAGATCGCAAGGAGGCAGGACACGGCACGTTCGGTGAAGACAGAATCTCAGCAGCAAGGTGACGCTGACATGCAGCAAAGATAGAAAGGATTGACACGGGGATAGAGCAATAAGAAAAGAGGGGTGAGGAGTAAGGATGAATGAGGGATGATGAGTAAGGATGAACGCGGAAAGGAGGGTGCCTCACTTGATGCGTTCAGTGTTGATGCCGATGCGCTTCATTCCGTCCTTGCCTGCACGAGAATCGCGCACACACGCAAACAATCAGAAGGCACGGAGAAGCAGCACGGCAAACAGGAGAGACACGTAACTCCACGGGAGATTGCGAGTGTCGAGTATCGCATAGGATGACAGCCGCGAGACAACTGAGGAAACCCGAAGAATCGAGAGAAACTACGGCGATGGCCACGTAAATGAGGACAAGGAAGCCTGACCTGGCAGCGGGTTATAGTGACCGACGCACTCGATATGCCGACCGCCGGTGGGACACCTACTGTCGGCGACATGGATGCGAAAAAACGGGAGGTTCTTACGACCGAACCTCGCAAGCCGAATGCGCGTGACGCCCATAATCCGGTAGTTTGAAAAGCGTCTAGATCGCAGCCGATCTCTCTCCTGCTAAGTCAGCTCGTCGCCGCAAGACACGCACGCAGGGAGCAGGGGTGGCTGTTCGGCCTTCACCCACAAACTGCTCTGGTTCCCTGATCTCCGTTTTTGCGTTCTATGCAAAAAGGTACCCGAACCCCCAAAACAACATAAGAAATATCACTTTGAACTTAGTGGCACTGTATGATTGAATCAAATCACAAACACTCCTCTACCGCTATAAGGAAAATAAATACCGTAAAAAGCAGATGCCATGCAGTGCGTGTCGCTGACTAACAGTAAGTGATGGTTTCTATAGCTACCTACCTCCACAACATGTCCTCTTATGTCCATCTGATTGAAAATTGAATTGTAGTATGTAGACTTGTTGAGCTACCATGGACTTCTATCCGGTTTGCCTGCCGTCAGGGTTTCTCTGTGCTGTTTGTGGTATAAATACATGACGTCATTAGTTTTTGAAGGCAAACTTAAACATGATACAAACAAACACATACTCTCTGGTACAAGCACACTTGACAAACAGTGCACACTCCGGCTGACTAAACGTCAGTGGACAAAGTTGGATGCAAACTCGTTAGTGATAATGGTGAGAGCAAAGCCAATGATGAGGGTGAGCGTGACATTGCCGCCCGGGACAAGGCGTGGCTGGTCTGTGGCGGTCCGGAGAGAGGCACGGTCCACCCATGCCATGGCTGCTGGTAGGATGCCAAACAGCACCAGCACTGCTTTGAGAGGAGGCCGAGGCGGGAGATAGGAGGGCGAGGAGAGAGAGATATGAGGGAGCGGAATCAGAGCAGATGAGGCAGGGAAACAGCTGGTGAGCAAGCCCCTGAGCGTGGGCACACGGTGGTGAGCACTGGCACATGGACATAGCCCGGACCACATCTAATCCTGCAGGTGGCCAATACTGAGGCAGGCCAAGCCAAGCTGATCATCACTTGACATCAATGTGTATATCAAGGCAGAACTCCACAGAGCTCCATGCATGCATGTGTGCTTTTCCCTCTCCTCTCACCCACCTCCGTATGTGCCCGCAAGGTCGAGAGCAGTGAAGAAGAGGTCGGGGTTGGAGAGGGAGAAAGCGAGTGGCGGGGCGAGTGTGAGGATGTACGGCAGAGGGGTGCGCCCCCTGCCCGCTGGAAGCTTGAGTGCTGGCAGGTGGAGGAGGGGGGGTTGAGGGAGAAGGGAAGGGTTAGAGAGGGATGGAAGTGGGGGGGGGATTGTGCAGTGCGGAGGAGAGAAGTAGGTGCTGCTGCATGCAGAAGAAAAGCACGTGAGACAGCTTGTGAGAAGGGAAACTAGGGCAGAAAGGGCTTGTGAGTGGGACAGTGCATGCACGTAGAGGATGGAGAGCAGGTGAATGGGAGAGAGGGTGTGAGAGAGGGCTGTGGTGGTGTGCATGTGCAGGGAGGGTTGGGTGGGCACCGTCAGTAAGGAAGTCAGAGAGGCCGAGGATGAAGCCGATGTATGACGTGGCTATGGCGAAGAAGGAGAACAGCTGCACCGCACCCTGCAGAGAGGGTGGGCCGTGAAGCGGTGGGGTGGGGTGGGGTGCGGTGAGGAGAGGAGAGGGTCACAGAGGGAGAGGAGAGAAACCATGCAAGCGAGGAGAAGGAGTAAATGCCGAGGTTCGGGCCATGGTATGTGGAAAGAATCTGGGAAAGAAGAAGGGAGGAGGAGAGAGACCAAGTGACATGCTGTTACCAGCTCATGCTGTTATCCTGCCTGGCACAGGCAAGCACAGTGTGAGGCACTCGCACTCACCATGTAACGACTCACTAGGTGAGCCACTCACCCCTACAGACGGGTCAATCTGCTGCAGGCGAGCCAGAGGGTCCACCACCTTCATGGTTTCTGCAGCAGCCACCGCAGCAGACGGCGCAGCAGCAGCGGCAGCAGCAGCAGCATCGGAAGCAATGGTGATGGTGTCGACAAGTGGTTGGGGAGACGGCGGGAGGGGAGCGGTGCCGAGGATGGCGGCATCCCAGAGCAGGAACATGAGGAGAGGTAGCGCTGTGCCTGCTAGGATGGCCGTGCGTATGCGCAGTAGGTTGCCCTCGAGGTTCGTGGCCACCACTGGCACCACGTTCTGATGCACGCCGCACATGGGTGGGGAGGAGGGAGGACGATGCGTGGAGGGAGGAGAGCAACATGAGCATAAAAGAGCAGAGACGGAGGGAGAAGAGGCACGAGACAAGGGAGAGGGCAATGAAGCGGAGAAAAGCGTATGATGTCAATAAAAAGCGTAAGAAAGCACGGCAGCTGGTACAGACAGCCGCGGAAAGAGCAGCACCTGGTAGACGAAGGAGAGGGCGATGATGGGCACGCTGGCAGGGACGGCAGCAATGTTGGCGGCGAGCAGGGCTTGGGGGTGGATGTCAGCAAGGGAGAAGGCGAGCAGGAAGGCGAACGACAGCACTATTCCCGCCACCAGCATGCCGTTCACCAGCCCTATGGCCCGCTGGCTGCGGTGGCCGCATGGATGCATGGATGCATGGATGCATGTATGCATGGATGCATGTATGCATGGATGCATGTATGCACGGGTGGACGGGTGGACGGATAAATGGACGGGTGCATGGATACATGGTCAAACACATGGTGGGATGGAGTGGTGGGACGTGGTGGTGAGGGATGCAGGGGTGGCAAGGGGACACTAGAAGGGACAATAACAGGGCAAGGGGACAGCAGCAGGGCAGTAGGTGTGAAACGGAAACGGGTGTGGGGAGAGAGAAAAGGTGAGAGGGAGTAGAGAGGCGAGAGAGTGCATGAGCACCTGCCGAAGTAGCAGAGGGCGCCGAAGGAGAGAGTGAAGATGGAGGCAGCGAGGCCGTGTGGGAGAGAGGAAGCAGTGCTGATGATGTCGGCGGAGCGAGAGACATAGGCGGTGATGACTGCGTAGTGGATGAGCAGGTACGTGGTGCCCGCTACACGCACCCCTGTTGTGCCTAGCGTACGCTGCGCCATGGACACCTGGGGGAGGGGAGGACGGGCATGGGGAGGGTATGGAGGGCATGGGCAATACGGGCAGTACGGGTTTAGCTGCACTGTGCCATGGCCACATGGCCAGGTGGCCAGGTCTGATGGATAGAGAGCGAGGGAGGGGAGAACCATGGCAAGGACAGCGTGGTGGTGGTTCGAATCAGAGGAATAGAATGGAGTGGGCCTATAGCGTCGTGCTACACAGCATGGCAGCTTTATGAGGAACAATGCTGAATGGACATGACAGCAGGTCACGGCCGCATGACAGGACAGCTCGGCCACATGGCACGGCAACGTGGGTGGGAGAATGGCAGTGCAACATGTGAGGGGGGGCATGGGAGTTACCAGAGAGACTCCTCCGGATCCGAGCTCGCACATGGTGTTCACATTGACCTCTGCTATCAGCATGCCTGTCGCCACCTGGTGGTTGCATGGACACGAGGAGCATGGACAGCCCGGCAGGCAGGGTATGGAAGGCGTGTTATGCGGTCAGGGCGCAGTAGCGGGCGGGCGGGAGAGAGGTGAGAGTGAGGGAGTGGGAGGGCGTGCATGAGCGAGTAGATGAGTGAGTGAGTGAGGGGGAAGCACACAATTCGAGAACGGCAGAGAAGGACCACTAAATTTGGATCGTTGTAATGTGCACTGCATGCAGGAGCTGCTGTGCCACGCTGTGCATACCAACCAACCCAACGCAGCGGCGGCTCCCGTGCCATGCTAGGCGAGCGTGCAGCAGGTGCGTGGGTGGTATGGTATGGTAGCGTACCATGTAGAGCCAGCAGACGATGCAGGTGGCGCAGGAGGGCAAGAAGCCCGCCTCGCTCGTCACTGCTGGCAGCGCCAATATGCCCGCCCCCACCTGCCGGGGTGGGACGGGAAAGGGGAGAGAGGGGCACGGGGAAGAGCAGGAGATGGGGGTAAGGAGGAGAGGTGGAGAAGGAAATGGGCAAGGGCCAAGGGAGATATGGGAGAGAGGCAAGAGGGAGAGCGGGTGAGTGGCACGAGGGAGGGGAGTGAGGTGAAAGGGGGAGGGATAGAGAGAAGATGGCGCAAAGCGAGAATGGGACGGAGGAGGAAGTGGAGGTGTACCGTGGTGCCGGCGACGAGGAGAGTGGAGGGAAGGGAAAGGGGAGAGAGGGGCATGGGGAAGAGCGGGAGAAGGGGGTAAGGAGGAGAGGGGGAGAAGGAGATGGGCAAGGGCCAAGGGAGATATGGGAGAGTGGAGGTGTACCGTGGTGCCGGCGACGAGGAGAGTGGAGCTAACCAGACTGCCTGCCACGCACAGGTGCACGTGGGGGCCGTGTGGTGGTGTGTAGGCATGAGCGGGGGCAAGCGAAAGTGGGGGCAATGGGAGAGTGGTGAGTGTGACATGTGGGCATCGGAATGGGCATGAGCATTGGCATTGGCATGGGCATGGGCATGGGCATGGGCATGGGCATGGGCATGGGCATGGGCATGGGCATTGGCATGGGCATGGGCATGGGCATGGGCATGGGCATGGGCATGGAAGAAGCAGAATCACTCAGGTGTATATTTCGAGACGCTGAGCGGAAGCACTCCCCGCACCTGGCTCATGCCTCATGTTCACTTCATTCAGGTTTGAAAACAGCCGCTCATATTCCTGTTTCCTCCCCTGCTGCCATCCCCCATCCCCGATCTCGCCCATCAGCCCCTCCCGCTCCCCCTCCTCCTCCTTTTCCGCGCCATCCCCTCTCCATCTCCACATCCCGCCCCCGACCCCCGTCTTCCCTCCCTCTTCCCTCCCGCTATCAGCGCCAGATGGGGCACTGGCGGAGGCTAGAGGGAGAGGGGAGACGAGGGGGGAGGGGGAAGGTGGCCGCGGATGATGTGACGAGCGGCGCACGTCTGGAGGTGAATGGAGATGGGAGGGTGGGCGGTTGTGGGGGAGAGGAGGGGGAGGGGGAGGGAAAGTAAAAGGGGGGAGGGGGAGGGGGAAGGGGTGAAGTGGGCATGGGGGAAGGGAGGGGGAAGGGCAGGGATGGAAAGGTAAGGTACTGGGTAGGGCTGCAAGAGCGCACGCGAGAATGAGAGGAGAACAAGCAGGAACATGCATGGACGCAGTCCCAAAAAGACCAGCCTTCATGGCACTCCTTTCATGGACCCAAAAAGACCTCACAAACTTTGACGGGCTGCATCCATGCACCTCACCTCCCTCCCCATCCCGCGCGGATTCGCCGCTTCTTTCCGCCATCGCCAGCACCGTCTCGCTCCGCCCCGTTCGCCCTGTGCGCCTCTCCGCGGCGGTTCTCGCGCCCGGGCCCCCCCCGCCCTTGCCCGCGCCGACTCCACCAGCGCCCAGCCATGCGCGCATGCCCCGCGAGGCCACGCGCTGCCATGCTGGATCGGACATTCGCACGGCTCGACAGGGCGGCAGGTGATGACGTGGTGGGGGACAAGCCGCTGAATGCGGTGTCAGGAATGGGGAGGGGTGAGAGGGGATGGAGAGGGACTAGGAGCGAGTTCGAGGAAAATAAAGGGAGAAATAAACGGGAGAAATAAACGGGAGAAATTTACGCATGTTTGCCTCAAGCACGTAAAAAAAAGCCTCAGATTACGTACGCGTTACAAGGCGTACGGATGGGGAGGACAACATCGCATCTCTGGGGAATCTGCCAAACGAGCTGAGAGACGGAAGCGGAAGTACAGAAACTATCACCCTAGCGGCAGCGACGCTCAGATGAGAATACGCGAAGCCGAACACTACGGTGATGAATATGTTACGATATGTGTCGTCAGCCTGAAAGGAATGCGAAGTCTCTCCTTGTTGAAAAACCAAGGCATTTCCGTCTTGACCAAGAAAATTCAAGCTCGAGATTGGTTGGGATGATGGGATGCGCCCGCACCTGATTTGGTTGGAGCCCAGGGGAATTTCTGGGGCTGGAACTTCGCAAAAGCGACGGTAGGCGAGCGATCTGCGATGTGGCTCGAGTGTTCGCCAAACACGTGGCCTCAGTGTGGCTGGTGAGCGAACGTCGGCACTGACACAACAGATCGCGAGCATTCGGCGACGGTTACTGTGTCTGTGGTGTCCTCACTCCCAACCGGACTCGCTTTTCCGTAAGAGCAATGCACAAATCCGCTACACTCTCAACTCCGATAAAACATTCTCAAGAAAAACCCACTATACAACATTTGGAGAGAGGGGGAGGGGCGGCAACAACAAGCTCTTTACCACCAACCCAGCTTCCCAGCTTCTACACCCGCCGTTGCTCTCCTCCTACCCGAACCCGCACATCCATCCTACTTCGCCTCGCGCGTCGCGTGCCTCCTGTCGCCTCCGCCATTCGGTGCGGAGATCCTGAGGCGTAGGCGCCTGGGAGATCCGCCTTTTCTACGACGTACGGCTCCCTCCCTCACAGTTCCGCGATGCACGGCACCTGGGAGGACCGCCGCTGCAGCGACGCATGGAGGCAGTGATTAAGAGATTAATAGTGCAGCGATGGGATTGATGGGAACGATGATGATGGGAATGACGGAGTGACTCACGAGCGAGTCAACGATGGGTGATGGCGGGTTGACGAGGAGCACCATGATCCGTTGAGACGGCTTCGCCGCGTGCTTTAGTCGTTGCGTTCCCGGACGTTCACGCTGGAAGTTTGTGTAGCTCGCAGGGGAATTCTGTAGTGCAGTGCAGCTGTGAGGCTCGGCGCGCAATTCCGAGCTTCCGAGGCTCGGCGTGTCAGTGCGTGCTCCCAGTGGTCCTGCGCCTGCCGTTACTGCGGCGGCGCGTGTGATAGCGTGATTTTTCCAGGCTGCTGCGCGCCGAGCGGCCATGGAGGCGGCGCTTCTGCAGAGCGTGGAAGCGGCGTGCAACGACCTGCAGGTTAGCTTCTTGCTCAACCAACCTCGCTGCTCGTTTACGCTCTTTCTTTTTGCTCAAGACGTCCACGCGAAACGTGCTAGCGTGCTGTGCAGGCGAAGTGTGGTAACTGAGCGGGCGATCGTTGGGGAGTGATGAGTGGCGCATGATTCGTCTGTGCGTTAAGGGAAAGGGGCGAGGAGAAGGAGAGGTAGGAAGGGAAGGTGCGTGCTTTGTGAACAGCTAAGGGGCTGATAGTGGCTGATGTGAGGATGAGTTCACGCGCACGGTGAGAGCATTGAGACATGCATTCCAATATCAAGTGGCATGACGTGACCTGATGTTGGCATGGCATGGCACGGTATGGACCGTTATGGCAGGTTCCTGAGAGGAGAGCAGCTGCGGAGGCAACGCTGCTGGAGCTGAGGAAATCGCCCCATGCATTGCAAGCCTGCACTCACTTACTCGGTACTTACAAGCGCTCGCATGTGCACACATACATACACACACACATCCACACACATCCTCATACATGCATGCGTACCTCCGCACACGTATATCCCCATGCATTCTCAACCCCAAACCCAAACCCTCATTCGCCCGCTTCTTTACCCTCCTCGTTCCCAACCCTCCCACGCCCTCTCTCCTTCTCCCCTTCCTGCGGGCAGACAACTCGGGCAATGCAGTGGCGTGCTTCCAGGCAGCAGCCACGCTGCAGCAGGTGGTGCTGCGTGACTGGCCCCGCATCCCCACCGCCGACCACACCTCGCTCCACCGGTACGCACTGCACTACACTGCACTGCATTGCCCCTGCATGGTCCGTTGAAAAGTAACCTTTGAGGCGACTCTCAGGGCACCAGTGCACTGCACCCTTGTGGCGCCCCGTGCCAGTCCCAGCAGCAGTGTCATAGCAGTTCCATGATCCATCAGCAGGCTCATTCCAGCCTGTCTCGCTCACTGGCCTTGTATACGCATTTTTCACGTGCTCCTGTGCATGCATGCTGCTCCCACTCCCGCTCGCCACTCATGCCACCAAAGTGCTTTTTCTCTGCTCTGCACCACACTCCACGTATCACCTCACATTCCTTCGCAAGACAAGTCTCAACGACACCCATCAAACCACACCACGCCACGTGCTGTGCTGTGCTGTGCTGTGCTGTGCTGTGCTGTGCTGTGCTGTGCTGTGCTGTGCTGTGCTGTGCTGTGCTGTGCTGTGCTGTGCTCTGCTGTGCTGTGCTGTGCTGTGCTGTGCTGTGCTCTGCTCTTCTCTGCTCTGCTGTGCTGCTGTGCTGTGCGGCAGGTACTGCTTGGACCACATAGTGAAGCGGGCCGTAGCGAGGGAGGAGGCGCAGGGGCAGGCTGGAGGAGGAGCAGGGGGAGCGGGAGGGGGCGGGGGAGGCGATGCATTTGTGGAGCAGAAGATGGTGGCCGTGCTGGCAGTGCTCGTTAAGCGAGCCTGGTATGTGCCCTGCCCTGCCCTGCTCTGCCATGCTCCGCTCTGCGCTGTCCTACCATGCCATGCCATGTCATGCTGTGTCATTCCGTGTGCTGATCTGTGTGTGAATCGCTTGGTGTGTGCATGCAGGATGGACGTGGACGACACCTACAAGACTGATCTCTTCTCCTCCGTACGTGCTCATGCTCATGCATGCACCTGCCTCTCCCCTCCCCATCACCCTAAACTGCTGTCACGTGCTGCCTGCGTGCCATTCTTGGCATGGGCTGGGCATCAGCTTTCTCGTTTGAAACTGCAGTGTATTGCTCTCCATCTCTCTGCCTCCCCAGTCCCGTATGTACCCTGCATTGCTCCAACCCCATGCCTCCCACCCCGCCCTCTTTGCGCCCACCCGCACCCCCCCCATCAGTTGAGGGACCTGGCATCGGGGTCAAGGGGTCCTGCCGTGCAACGAGCTGCTTTTTCTCTGCTCGACGCCCTTGTCAGTTCTCACAGTGCCATGCCATGCCATGTCCTGCCGCACCATGCTATGCCATGCCATGCCATGTCCTGCACCGCTATGCCATGCCATGCCATGCCATGCCATGTCATGCAGTGCCACGCGCTCATCTCATGCGTGCATGACATGCCACTCTGGGCTCCCCTGTTCTTTTCCAATGGAGAGTGAGTGCCCTGTCCATCTCTACAAACCTCTGCACCTATCCCAATCCCTCCTTCTCTCATACCACCTCTGTGTGTGTCGCCTTTGAGAAACCTCTCAATCAACTCCTAGCTTTTCCAGCTTTCTACCTGTCTCGCCTATCCTCCCTCTCGCCCATTCCCCCACACGTTCCTTACAACCGCCTTTCTCCTCCCCCTCCCCCTCCGCCCCGTCCGCGTGTCCCGTGCGCCAGGTGAGCGAGTTCAATCCGGCCAGTGCAACGCCCCTGGCCCTGCCGTCTGACTTCCACAATCGCTGCCGCATCGCCTTCCAACGCCACTTCCTCATGGTGTGTGCACTGCCTGCCTGCCCCTTCCGCGTGTGAGAGAGAGCTTTCAAGAGCAGCCTTTCTAGTCATCCAGTCTCTCACCTCTCTATGTTTCGTGTTCATGATGCACGAGCCACGGCAGGGCAGCAGCATGCCAGGCGCCTCAAGAGTTTTTCTCTTTCTTCCCCACTCGTCTCCAATCCATCCTCACTCATCCCCACCCATCTTCACCCCTTCTCCACCCCATCCGTATGCGTCCCTCCCCAGGCAGTGCTGATGGTGTGTGTGGATGCAGTGGCAGCGCACATGGCAGCAGTCAAAGCACAGGTGGAGGCCACTCAGGGGCACGCGCAAGGGCAAGGGCAGGCGCAGGGGGGAGTGGTGTGGGGGCCTAGCAGTCAAGCAGTGGTGGCAGCGGCGCTGAATGTGCTCATCGCTGCGCTCTCTTGGGACTTCACTGGCGGTTAGTCCGCCTCCGCCCTACTCCTCTTTGCTCTTCTGCTCCTCTTCTCTTCTGCTCGCTTTTCTCTCGCTTTTCCCCAACCGCCCCCACACTTTCTCTCACCCCTCTTGCTCTTCCCTTGTTTTCATTTTCGCCGCAGCACCACCCACCTTCTGATGCACGCACAGCTATTTGTTTGACTCACTCGCAAGCAATCACACTCTCACACATAGATGACGCAAGGACGTAGACTTGCTTGCCCTGCTCTGCAGAGTCAAATGTCCAGGCTTGCAAAATCGATTTAAGCATGTCTTGTTGGATGGACATTCCCCTCACGTCCCCACATGCTCATGGCATGCACATGCACATGGCACTCACATGCACATGGCATGCACGCATGTGGCAGGCAGTGTGCGTGCATCAAGAAGCAAGGCCAGTGACGATGGCTCGCTCTCCACTGCTCGCTCCTCCTCTGACATGCACACCGTGCAGGTAGGCAATGCACCAGAGTGCACTCTTTCTCAGCAGTCTACGCTACGCTACGCGGAGCAGTCTGTTTATGAGGCGCCGCAGAGGAATCCTTCTCTCGGATGCACTCCACTCCCTGCAGGTCGATTCTGCGTGCTGCTTGTGAGAAATTTCGAATCTCGGAAATTCGCAGTGCAACTACCTGCCTATATACGTTGCATGGCATCTCATTTCTCACTACCCACCCATTGCTCTCCACGTGGCACTCCAACAGCCACCTGCCGAATGGCTGCCATTGCTGCTGTCACCGGAGCTGCTATCGCTGCTGGCATCGGTGTACGCGGCGCTACCACACACGTGTGCCCCGGGGCATGACTGGCGCGAGGGACCCCTGGCAGAGCGCACCAGGCAGATGGCCGTGCTGCTCTGCTCCCTGCACGGCCCCGCCCTCACTGCTGCTGGTGACGTGCCGTGCCATTCCGTGCGCTGCCTTGCCGTGCCGTGCTGTGACTTGCCATGCCTTCCCACACACTATGCTTTCCCAGCCATGCCGCGCCATGCTTTTCCATGCCTTGTTACACCATTCATTACGCCTCCGAGGCGCAGCAACAGTTGTTCGCCAAGCCCCTCCTCCCGTGCTCTCTCCCCACCCTCCCCCCATCGCTGTCTCCACCAGACCCATCGCTTGTGAGCATGAACGTGGGGTGCCTGCTCTCCCTGCTGCTGCAGTGGCTGTCTCCCCTTCCCGCCACTGTCGCTGCTGTTGCTCAGGCGCACATCTCAGACAGGTGCGGCATGGGAGAGGAGGGGGAGAGGAGAGGACAACGACGGGGACAGAATCGTTTGTAGTGGTGCATTGGTGCTTTGGTGTCCTCTCGTAACAATCACATGTCCTGATGTGATGTGATGTGATGTGATGTGATGATGCTACTCTATCTCGGCCTCCATCCTCGCACATGCCATGCCGCACATACAGGGAGCTTCTGGACGTGTGTAGGGCACTGGCGGCACTCATTCGCTTGCATCCGCTGCTCGCCACCACCCCCGCGCCTTCCGCACATGCCAACGCCAACGGCTCTGCCAACGGGTGCTCCTCTTCTCGTCTTTCTCCCCACTTGTGCCTGGCCAAACGTGCCTGCTTTGAGTTTTTTTTTGTTCACTGCTCGGATCTACTACACATTGCTTGCGCACGGTACTACTACTAGTAGTGTCTCCGCAATGTGTGCTTTGACCCCAAATCAAGCATCTCATTCTTCCATATGACTCACCCTTCTCTTCTCACCTTAGCACCCTCCCACCCTCCCTCCCCACCCTTCTCACCCTCCCACCCTCCCTCCCCACCCTTCTCACCCTCCCACCCTCACTCCCGCCCACCCTTCTCGCCCCACCTCCCTCCTATCCTATCACCCTCCCACAGCCCGTCCTGTCCCCCCACGCTGCTGGGGCTGTTGGGCGAGCTGACCTGCGCTGTGCTGGCACACGGGGCAGCCAGTGACGACGACACTCTAGACGGCCCCATGCCGCACGCCCTCGACATGCTGCTCGACACCTGGCTCGCCTTCCTCCTCACTGTATGCCCCGCCCACCCATCTCGCCTTCCTCCTCACTGTATGCCCCACCCACCCATCTCGCCTTCCTCCTCACTGTATGCCCCGCCCACCCATCTCGCCTTCCTCCTCACTGTATGCCCCGCCCACCCATCTCGCCTTCCTCCTCACTGTATGCCCCGCCCACCCATCTCGCCTTCCTCCTCACTGTATGCCCCGCCCACCCATCTCGCCTTCCTCCTCACTGTATGCCCCGCCCACCCATCTCGCCTTCCTCCTCACTGTATGCCCCGCCCACCCATCTCGCCTTCCTCCTCACTGTATGCCCCGCCCACCCATCTCGCCTTCCTCCTCACTGTATGCCCCGCCCACCCATCTCGCCTTCCTCCTCACTGTATGCCCCGCCCACCCATCTCGCCTTCCTCCTCACTGTATGCCCCGCCCACCCATCTCGCCTTCCTCCTCACTGTATGCCCCGCCCACCCATCTCGCCTTCCTCCTCACTGTATGCCCCGCCCACCCATCTCGCCTTCCTCCTCACTGTATACCCCGCCCACCCATCTCGCCTTCCTCCTCACTGTATGCCCCGCCCACCCATCTCGCCTTCCTCCTCACTGTATGCCCCGCCCACCCATCTCGCCTTCCTCCTCACTGTATGCCCCGCCCACCCATCTTGCCTTCCTCCTCACTGTATGCCCCGCCCACCCAGCTCGCCTTCCTCCTCACTGTATGCCCCGCCCACCCATCTCGCCTTCCTCCTCACTGTATGCCCCGCCCACCCAGCTCGCCTTCCTCTTCTGACTTCCCTTTCTGTTTTCTTTGCCGCAACAGCAGCATTCGAGTGCTGCCCGCTCTACACAACACAACACCTGGCTGGGCTTGCCCCTGTGCTTGTGCGTCCTCAATGCACATCCCTCAACTCACCTTTAACCTTGAACTTTGAACCCGCACTTTCCTCTGTCCACACCCGTGCAGCTGGAGTCACGCATCTCGTGCCACGTCATCTCACAGCCAGCGTCAGCGCCGCAGCAACAAGCAGCAGCAGCAGCAGCGGCAGCAGCGGAGTGGTCGCAACTCATGCATGCAGTGGCGCCAGTGGCAGCTCAGGCCTTCCGCTCCTTCACCCAACACCACCTGCAAGGTAAGGTGTTGTTCGGATTCTTTTCTTTCCAAGGATCTCCAATACACCTGCAAGGTCCCCTCTCACCTATCCCCCTCTCACCTATGCCCCACTGTCTTTCCCGCCTGCATCCCTGCCTGCTTCTCCGCCTTGTCTACATTCTCACTCTTCCGTCCTACTGTTTTCTCCACCCCTGCCATTCTCAACCTACCAACGCTGCCGTGCCGTGCTTGTTATATCAGCGGCGGCAGCATCGGCATTGGAGGAGGAGGATGCAGAGGACAACATGGACGCCGCCCTGCAAGGTATGTATGCCATGCCTTGCATGCACGGCACAGAGGGTTTCTTGGACGAGAGGAGGGAGGGATAACACCACACCATTCCACCATACATCAGACACACACCAAGCACCAACCACTACACGCGTTCAAAGAGGTGCTGTGTGCTTGTGTGTGCCTCACACCCAGTGCTCGAGTGATTTACGACTGCCTAAAGACCTGCATTTCCTTCACACACCTCAAACCTGACGTCAAACCTGACGCCAAACCTGACGTCAAACCTGACGTCAGACCTGACGTCAAACCTGACCTCAAACCTGATGTCAAACCTGACGCCAAACCTGACGCCAAACCTGACGCCAAACCTGACGTCAAACCTGACGTCAAACCTGACGTCAAACCTGACGTCAAACCTGACGTCAAACCTGACGTCAAACCTGACGTCAAACCTGACCTCAAACCTGACCTCAAACCAGACCTCAAACCTGACGTCAAACCTGACCTCAAACATGACGTCAAACCTGACGTCATACCTGACGCCAAACCTGACGTCAGGTATGACCTCAAACCTGACCTCAAACCTGACCTCAAACCTGACCTCAAACCTGACCTCAAACCTAACATCAAACCTGACGTCGAACCGACGTCAAACTTGACATCAAACCTGACGGCAAACCTGACGGCAAACCTGACGGCAAACTTAGTTCGGAAAGACGCGTCCTGCGTCCTGGACGCATGCGTCCAGACGCATGCGTCCAGACGCAGGACGCTGAACCTGGACCTGTAAGACGCACCAAAAGACGCAAGCCCGGGCAGGGCAAAAAAAACCCCCGGGCAGGCCAAAAAAAGTTGTATAGGGCTTGGAGAGGGGGGGGGGGGGGGGGGAGGGGCATACCACAAAATTTTCCCAAACAACAAGATTTTCCCCCAAAATATGAGTTTAAGGTGAGTCACGTGTCACACATTTCACAAGGTCTCACACACATTACGTTTAATCCAACCACTACCGACCACGCATACTCCTCAACTACCAGTGCACTGCATCAAGTCAACCATCACGCATCCCCATCATCCTCGCTCTCCTTCTCCTCCTCTTCGTCCATCGCTTCCTGGTCCTTGTACTCGTCGACTGCCGGGTCGTCCTCGTCCACCTCCCTCTCCCCGTCCTCCTCCAACTTGTATCCCTCGGGGAGGGGAGGGGTGGGAATGTTACCCTCCACCACCCCCGCCCTCCTCACTCCCCCACTTGGCCCTGCTCCACCAGCTGCGGCCTGGTGGTGGCCGTGCACAACCGGCCAGTTGTGCGCCACGAACACTAGGTCGCGCACCTTCTCCGACCCAAGCCTGTTCCTGCGCGCCGTGTGCACCCCATCCCACACAGACCATCCCCGCTCGCATGGAGAGGCGGAAACGGCCTGTGACACAGCACGCTGCGCAAGGCCTGCCAGTTCAGGGTACTCCCAGCCATTCACCTTCCACCACGCCGCCATGTCCCCCTTCCCCTCTTTCAGCTGCGCACGGCTCGCTACCGCCTCCTCCGACCCAAACCCCCCCTTGCCCTCAATGTACGCCAGCATCCCCTCCTGCAGCGCCAACATCGTTCCCTCCCGCTCGCCGTCCTTCTTCCAATACTTGTCGACGAAGGCCCTCGAGCGTTGCAGCCACGCCTTCATCACCCTGGTGCACTCCCTGTCCTTAAGGTATATCCCCTCCTCCTGGTTGACCGGGTTAAGAATCCGGCCTACCACGTGAAGAGGGCAGGCCAGACTCTCATCCCATCGCCTCCTCAAATGCTCCAGCAAATCCTCCTTCTCCGACTCCTTAAGCTTACAATCCGCCCTCTCCAACAGCTCCGTCTGGTCCACCGTCAGCTGCAGCATCATGTCGTACAATGCTCCCATCTTCCCCTTCGCTGGCCCATCCGTCTTCCTCATCAACTTGTACGGCAGCTCCATCACCATGACGAAGGTGTCCACCTTGCCCCACCACTCCACATCCATCACCGCCTTCTCAAAAGTAGTTCCAGTCTGCTGCTTCCTCCCCTTCTCGGCCCAGTCCGTGTGCGTCACCATGTTCACCAGGTGCTGGCGAATCTCCTTAAGGCGGGAAACGGCAATGTACTGCGTCCCAAAGCGTGTGCCCGCCGGTCGCAGCGGCTGCAGCGACTTCTTCTCGCCGTGCAGCTCGGGACACCGGAGGAAGGCACGCGTCCACGTGTGGCTGCGCAGGAACGTGATCATGTCGGTGGCAACTGACACGACCTCCTGCGCCCAATCCATGCCGCCGAAGTCCTCCAACAGCAGGTCGAGCACGTGGGTGGCGCAGGGGACGAACTCCAAGTGCGGGTACTTCTTCTGCAGCAGCTTGCCGGCGGACACGTAGTTGCTGCCGCCGTCCGTGCAAATCGCGACGACGTGCTCCGGTCCAAGCTTCTCGATCAGCGGCTGCAGGACGCTCACGATGAACGCCCCAGTCTTGGTCTCCGCCTTGCAGTCGAACGCCTCCTTGAAAACCGCTCCACTGGCGTTGATGAAGACGACGTTCATCTGCGCGCGCCCGCTCTTGTCCTTCATCATATCGCTCGCGATCGTCACGCCGGTCTCCTTCCACGACTTCGTAATGGGCGACAAACCCTTCTCAATCTGCTGCTTGCACGCCAGCAACCCGGCGCCTCCAACGTAGCCCACCTTGGGCGGAACGTAGCCGGCACCGGCGGCGCTAACGGCGCGCAGCATGTTGAGGAAGAGGGGGTGCTCGCTAATGACCTCCGCCGAGCGCGTCCCCGCGACGAAGAGGCAAATCGCATCGTCAGCCGCACGCTTCGCCGACATCCCCCCCTCGCCATACCAATGCTCCATCCGCCCCTTCTTTGCCTTCGGACCCGCTCCGCCTTGGCCGCCCACCGACGTGAGCGCCTCCTCCATAGCCCTCTCCTTATCTTTACGCGCCGTCTTCTTCGTTTCCTTCGTGTTGCGAATGGCGTCGGAAACGCGCTTAGGAACATCCGTGCACACAACTCCACCTTCGCGCCGCACGTTCGCGTCATCCCAAACGGCGAGATGCTGAGTGCATCGGCTACTACTAAGAGCAAACGTTTTTCCGCACCAAAGGCACTCACACTGCTTCCCTAGCTTGGCGGGATCATCGAACGTCCAAAAATGCCTATAAATATTGTGATCGGGTTTATACGGTTTTTTCTCCACCCCTTCCTTAGTGTAACGCTGGGGGGGAATGTCTACGGCGGCATCAGAAACACTCCTAGACGCGGTGGAAGAAGAAGGAATGCTCGAGGAAGCCATAGCGGAGTTTAGGTGGTAAGCTAAGCTAAGATCTGAAACCTCTAAGGTTGGGATTTCTAGATGCTAAGGGGTTGAGAGGTTTGAGTGAAATTCAAAATTTGTTGAGTTGTTAGGGAATGTTAGGGGGGCTGGTTTAGAATGTCGAATTGGGCTTAGGGGTGGGAAATTTCGCGATTTCGACATTCGCGCCGAAATCGCGAATGCCAAAAACGCGATCCGGAAAAAAAATAAATTTCGGGCAGCCCGAAAAAAATTTCGAGGAGCGTCCTGCGTCCGGACGCGCGTCCTGCGTCCTAGCGTCCGGACGCAGCGTCCGGACGCAGGACGCTGCGTCCCTCCAGCGTCTTTCCGAACTAAGACGGCAAACCTGACGGCAAACCTGACGTCAAACCTGACGTCAAACCTGACGTCAAACCTGACCTCAAACCTGACCTCAAACCTGACCTCAAACCTGACATCAAACCTGACGTCGAACCGACGTCAAACTTGACCTCAAACCTGACGTCAAACCTGACGGCAAACCTGACGGCGAACCTGACGTCAAACCTGACGTCAAACCTGATGTCAAACCTGACCTCAAACCTGACCTCAAACCTGACGTCAAAACTGACGTCAATCCTGATGTCAAACCTGGCCTCAAGCCTAACGTCGAACCTGAAGTCAAACCTGACGTAAATCCTGACGGCAAACCTGACGTCAAACCTGACCTCAAACCTGACCTCAAACCTGACCTCAAACCTGACGACAAACCTGACGGCAAACCTGACCTCAAACCTGACCTCAATCCTGACAGCAAACATGACGTCAAACCTGACCTCAAACCTGACCTCAAACCTGACGTCAAGCCTGACTTCAAACCTGACATCAAACATGACGGCAAACCTGACGTCAAACTTGACCTCAAACCTGACGTCAAACCTGACGTCAAACCTGACGTCAACCCTGACGTCAAACCTGACGTCAAACCTGACGTCAAACCTGACGTCAAACCTGACGTCAAACCTGACGTCAAACCTGACGTCAAACCTGACGTCCAACCTGACGTCAAAACTGACCTCAAACCTGACCTCAAACCTGACGTCAAACCTGACGTCAAAACTGATGGGGAACCTGATGGGGAACCTGTGTGAGAATTGAACCGATGAGTTGATTAGGAATGATGAGGGCTTACATAGTTGGAGCTAAGGAAAGGGGGGTGGTTGGTACCTAGCCAACATTATTGGCCCCCACCAATAAGTTGGGTTGGAGAATTATTGGGGGGTCCCAATAATGTTGGTCAAAGTGGGTCAACATTATTGGGGGGGCCAATAATCCTCCAACCCAACCTTGGGGTCCAATAATTGGGCCAAGGTTGGGTTCCAACCCCCACGTAGGGTTAACCCTAGTTGTGCACCCAAACATTGTTTGGGTGCCTATCTCTATCCTAGGGTTTATAAGATCAATGCAAGATACAGAAGAGTAGTATAATCTAACACAACCCCTTAGCCTGCAGAGATCCTTAAACCTGGATGAGATAAGACAGCAACCCCTGAATCAGTCACCATGGGGGGGCAAGGCCCAGGAGGGGCAAGATTGCCGAGTGAGTAGCGCGGTCAAGGGCCTTAGTGAAAATGTCGGCGGGGTTGGAGGATGAGTCGATCTTGCGCACGGTGATGTGGCGATCCTGGACAAGGTTGCGGACGAAGTAGTGTCGGAGCTCGATATGCTTGGAGCGACCATGGAAGACAGCTTCTTTGGTGAAATGGATGGTGCTAGCGTTGTCACACCAGAGGGTGGGACATGGTTGTGGTGAGCCAAGGTCTGTGAGGAGATAGCTGTGCCAGCGTGCTTCCTGTGCCGCCATCGTGACCGCGTATAGTTCGGCTTCGCAGGAGGAGAGGGCGATGGAGGAGGAGCGGGTGGAGCGCCAGCTGATGAGGCCGCTCCCAAGGGAGAAACCATATCCCTGTGAGCTGCGACGGTCAGGTTGTGAATCTGCCCAGGACGAGTCGCTGAAGCCAGTGAGAACCGGCGGGTCCGCTCCACCAAGGGTGAGAGAGTAATTCTTCGTATGCTGAAGGTAGCGTAGGACACGCCGGGCCGCGGTTATGTGTTCCTCCGTGTGCCTGCAGACACCAACGAACCGCGCCAGAACACTGACTGGGTAGGCAAGGTCGGGGCGGGTGCAGACCATGGCATACATCAGGGCCCCGACAAGCTCTGCATAGGGGTTTGAGGAGTCGGTGGGGGTGGCAGGGGGCGAGAGCTGATGCCCAACTGCAAGCGGAGTGGCGATGGGCTTGGCTTTGGACATTCCAAACCTCTCAAGGACCTTCTCAATGTAGAAGGACTGAGAGAGGGAGATAGTCTTAGCCTTGAGGTCGCGGGTGATCTCCATGCCAAGGTAGTTGCGGACCTCCCCCAGGTCTTTGCAGGCGAGTCGACGCTGTAGTTCGTCCTGGACCTCCTGCATCTCAGCATCTGTGTCGGCAGCTAGTAGCATGTCGTCGACGTAAACAAGAATGTAGAAAGGGGACGGAGCCGTCCGAAGGAAGAGGCTGGAGGCAGCTCGGGAGGGGCGAAAACCAAGCTCGCGAAGGGTGGAAGAGAGCTTGGCATGCCACTCCCGGGGTGCCTGCTTGAGGCCGTAGACGGGCCGCAGCAGCTTCCAAACGGTGGACGGGTCATGTGGAGCGTGAAAGCCTTTGGGGCGTTCCATGAAGATGAGTTCGTGTAGGTCGCCTTGGAGGAAGGCGGTATTGACATCCATGGAGTGCAGCAGCATGCCGCGTCTGCCGACGAAGTCGAGGAACACCCGAACGACCGGTGGGGTAGTAGTGGGTGAGTATGTTTCGAAGAAGTCAAAGCCGTGCTTCTGCGTGAAGCCCTTCGCCACATAGCGAGCTTTGTAGACAGGGTCTTCGTCAGGGAGAAGCTTGACACGGAAGAGCCATTTGCCCTTGACGACATTGGTCTTGGCAGGGCGAGGGACGTCGATGAAGGAGCGGTTGTGGATGAAGGCGTTGCTCTCCTTGACCATGGCTTCAATCCAGAGCGGTGCGTCGAGGCAGGCAATAGCCTCCTCATACGTGGTGGGTTCGAAGATGGTGGGGGTGCCCGAGAAAAGAAGAACTGGAGTGCCCGCCATGGTGCGGACGATGGGGGCGATGGAGGGCGCGAGGAGGTGGAGGAAGAGGAGTTCGTCGTGGGTGTCTTCATAGAGGAGAGGAGAGAGAGGAGGAGGTAGAGGGGGTGGTGAAGATGCAAGACAGCTGCGCTGGAGGTCGAATCTGAGACATGGAAGTGCTGCTGCTCGGCTGCGTGGTGGTGCAGTCAGGAGCGCGGAGCGGTTGCGCAGTGGATCTGGAGTGAGGGGGCTGAAGCGGGGGGGGAGGAGAGTACCGGTGAGGGCGAGGAGGGAGGGGGGGGAAGTCTGTGGGGAACCAAGGATGGGGTCCAGGGAGCGGGTGTGGGGATAGCGGGGAAGGACAAGGGTAGGGGAGAGGCGCCGGGGAAGGGGGGGGGGAGGTGGAGGGGGGGGCGGATTAGAGGAGGGGAGGGGGGAGGGAGGGGAAGGGGGCGGGGGAGGTGGAGTAGGGGGAGGAGGAGGAGGAAGGTGAGTTGCAGCGGAAGGTGAGGTAGTGGAGTGGGAGGGGGAGGGGGGGGTGGGTTAAGGATGTCGCCGGAGGAGCTGGAGGAGAGGGGAGCGGGGGGGAGGGGTGGAGGAGGGGGGGGAGGGGTCATGGTAGGGGACGGGAGGAGGGGCAGTGTGTCAGTCCAGAGAAGGGGCCGGGGAAATGGGGGAAGGGGGTTAGGGGCGGAGGAAGAGGTGTAGTACGGGGTGGCCTCGTCAAAGACCACGTCCCGACTACGGATGAGGCGGCCTGAGGGGGGGTGGAGGAAAAGGTAGTCAGGTGAGGTGGTGTTGTGTCCAAGGTAGACACAGGGGAGAGTGCGAGACGCAAGCTTTCCACGTGCGCGTGGGCGGTCGGCAGGGTGTATGAGGACATATGCCTTGCAACCCCACACGCGCAGAGGGGATATGTCAGGCTTGCTGGAGGTCCATAGTTCGGTGGGGGTGGAGGTGGGACGAGAGGGGTGGGGGTAGAGGTTAGTGAGGATGGCAGTGTGAAGGATGGCATAGCTCCTAAGAGAAGGTGGGCAGGAGGCGTGAACGAGGAGGCACCGAGAAGTTTTGGTGATCTCCCGAACGCGGCTCTCCGCCACACCATTCTGCTGAGGGGAGTGAGGGAGAGTGTAGGTGTGGAGGATGCCGTGAGAGGTGCAGTAGGAGGACAGGGTGCGGTTGAGGAACTCACCGCCTCCATCGGAATGGAAGCGACGAACAGGGCGACCGAAGTGGTTGCGTGCTTGTTTAGCCCAGGCAGTGATGGCAGCCGGGGCCTCCGCCTTCGTACGAAGGAGGGTGACGGAGGAGTATCGACTGTGATCATCCACCAGGATGAGGAGGTAGCGATGTCCTTGCCTGGTGGGGGAAGGGTTGAGGCCCCAAAGGTCCATGTGGACGAGGTCAAGGGGTTGGAGGGAAAAGGAGGGGTTACTCGTATGTGGTTGTTGCTTCAGCTTGCTTTCAACACAAACTGAGCAAGGAGGGGAGGGGGGAGGAGGGAGGGGGGGAAGGGTAAGGGGGAGGCCGTCAAGGAGTTTAGTGAGGATGGATCGGCGAAGGGTGGCAAAGTTGGGATGGCCGAGGCGATGGTGGAGGAGAATGGTGGGGTGTGTGAGATCACGATAGTGACAGGGGGAGGGGCGGGGGGAGGGGCGGGGGGAGGGGCAGGGGGAGGGGCGGGGGGAGGGGCGGGGGGAGGGGCGGGGGGAGGGGCGGGGGGAGGGGCGGGGGGAGGGGCGGGGGGAGGGGCGGGGGGAGGGGCGGGGGGAGGGGCGGGGGAGGGGCGGGGGGAGGGCGGGGGGAGGGGCGGGGGGAGGGGCGGGGGGAGGGGCGGGGGGAGGGGCGGGGGGAGGGCGGGGGGAGGGGCGGGGGGAGGGGCGGGGGGAGGGGCGGGGGGAGGGGCGGGGGGAGGGGCGGGGGGAGGGGCGGGGGGAGGGGCGGGGGGAGGGGCGGGGGGAGGGGCGGGGGGAGGGGCGGGGGGAGGGGGAGGGGGAGGGGGAGGGGGAGGGGGGGGAGGGGGAGGGGGAGGGGGAGGGGGAGGGGGAGGGGGAGGGGGAGGGGGAGGGGGAGGGGGAGGGGGAGGGGGAGGGGGAGGGGGAGGGGGAGGGGGAGGGGGAGGGGGAGGGGGAGGGGGAGGGGAGGGGGAGGGGAGGGGGAGGGGGAGGGGGAGGGGGAGGGGGAGGGGAGGGGGAGGGGGAGGGGGAGGGGGAGGGGGAGGGGGAGGGGGAGGGGGAGGGGGAGGGGGAGGGGGAGGGGGAGGGGGAGGGGGAGGGGGAGGGGGAGGGGGAGGGGGAGGGGGAGGGGGAGGGGGAGGGGGAGGGGGAGGGGGAGGGGGAGGGGGAGGGGGAGGGGGAGGGGGAGGGGGAGGGGGAGGGGGAGGGGGAGGGGGAGGGGGAGGGGAGGGGGAGGGGGAGGGGGAGGGGGAGGGGGAGGGGGAGGGGGAGGGGGAGGGGAGGGGGAGGGGGAGGGGGAGGGGGAGGGGGAGGGGGAGGGGGAGGGGGAGGGGGAGGGGGAGGGGGAGGGGGAGGGGGAGGGGAGGGGGAGGGGGAGGGGGAGGGGGAGGGGGAGTTCGAGAGGAGGGGGAGGGGGAGTTCGAGAGGAGGGGGAGGGGGAGTTCGAGAGGAGGGGGAGGGGGAGTTCGAGAGGAGGGGGAGGGGGAGTTCGAGAGGAGGGGGAGGGGGAGTTCGAGAGGAGGGGGAGGGGGAGGGGGAGGGGGGAGTTCGAGAGGAGGGGGAGGGGGAGGGGGAGGGGGGAGTTCGAGAGGAGGGGGAGGGGGAGGGGGAGGGGGAGGGGGAGGGGGAGGGGGAGGGGGAGGGGGGAGTTCGAGAGGAGGGGGAGGGGCGGGGGAAGGGGGTGTGGAGAGTTGGTGAAGGGTGGGACGGGGGATGCGGAAGGTGTACATGTGGGTGGAGGGGCACCGATGGACACGGCAGAGGAAGCGACCAGAGGAGGTGTGAAATAAGTCGCAATATGCTTTGTGACCAGGGAATATGGCGGTGACACCTGAGTCGGAGAGGGCACCAAGGGATAACAAGTTGTTCCGAAGGGAGGGGATATAGAGACCTGTGACAGTACCTGAGGGAAAGAGGGGGCAGGGGAGTGTGGAGGTGTAACGGCTTTGTATCGCAAAGCTGGAGTCAGCCCCAAGTATTGTGGAGGGGGTGGAGAGGGGGAGGAGCGTGCCTGCGTCACGAAGGACCGTGTGCGTGTCTCGGCTATCAAGGATGAACTCAAGGGGCTTTGAGGAGGAGGGGGACTCGGAGTACTGGAATGAGGACTCATTAATAACATTGGCATACATAGGATCATTGCAAGAGCTAGCAGTGGTGACATGACATATGAAACCCGTGGAAGGAAACGGTGTGAAGCCGAGGGGGTGAGAGGGGGAGGTGGGTAGTTCAGCAGGTGCAGCAGTTGCAGCAGTTGCAGCTGTCCCATGGCCATACAGAGATGGGGGGTAGGGAGGGTAGGGCCAGCCAGCGTAAGGAGGAGGATAAAGGGAGAGAGGAGGATAGGGGGAGGGAGGGGTTTGAGGTGCGAGGGTGGGTGTGGTGAGGGTGGGAGGCGTTGGGGTGGTGGTGGGTGTGGGGAGGAGGTGTTGGACTTGCTGGAGGACGTGAGGGGAGAGGTGTTGGGCGAGGACATTATGGAGGTTGGGGGGAGATGGTGCATAGGCGGGGAGGGTGCGAATGTCATGAGGGGTGGGGCGAGGGGTGATGGTGCTCCAGCGTGGAGGAGGGCCCGTGTTGCCGCGTGCAAGCCATTCGTCGGTGAGAGCTATGAAGCACGTATCAGTGGGATGGGTGGTCTGGTTGCAGGTCTGACCTTTGTTAGGGCCTTGGCGAATGACATACTGGCACGGAGGGAGCCCACCCGTGGTTGAAGTGGTTGCCCCACGCCCGCCACGTTCCCCAGTGCGCCCTCCTCGTCCACCTCCGCGACCGCCTCCTCTTCCACCACTGCCCGAGCCACGACCTGGTCCGCCCCCGCTGCTTCCGCCGGTGTTTGTTCCTTTGCGCGCATGAACGCCATTGATGGAGGCAGATTCACGCAGAAGGTCAGCCTCACTGTCAAGGAGCCAGTCGATGGTAACTGCACAGGAGGAGGACGGATGTGCTGGGAGGTGAAATTGATGCGGTAAGTGTCGTAGGTGGGTGGGAGGCAGTCAAGGATGCGTGCTGTGAGGAGGGTGTCGGAGATCAAGATGCCACGATCATTGAGACGTTGTGCAGTGTCCGTGAGGCGCCGAGCGAAGGAAGCAGCGTTGAGGGAGGAGTCCAGTGTGATGTCTTGGAAGGTGCGAAAGAGGGAGAGGAGGGAACGTAAGTCCTGGCGATCATATTGGGAGGAGAGAGACTTCCAGAGGGAGAGGGAGGATGGGGGGCGAAGGTCACGCTTGAGAGAGGAGGGAACGCATGAGAAGATGATAGTAAGTGCATGGCGGTCAGCAATGCGCCATGCAGCTGTATCGGAGTGGTGCTTACGGAGCTTAGCAGAGTACTCTTCGGAGGCGGCTTTGAATTCTGCAAGTTTTGCAGTGGCAGCTTCGTGATCGGCGATGGCAGCTGCGTGTGCTCTGCTTTTGATGACATAGTCGTCCCGCTCCTTGTTGTATTTGTTGAGCGTGCGAGCCCACCTGTCCGGATCATCCTCCCAAGCCCCTAGGATAGGGGCTTGGGGGGCAGGTTCGGTCGGGAGTGGTGGGGCGTCGGGGGGGGAGGAGCCCGAGAGTGGGGGCGGAGTGGGGGGGAGGCCATTAGGTGTTTCGAGGACAACGTCTAGGAGGCAGTAATCTCCTACTCGAACGGAGCCCAGGTACGTGAAGAGGCTCTCCTCAAACGACACCCAATTGACGGCGGTGGTGCCGTTGAGGAGCTCGAGCTTGTCGATGAAGGCAAGCTCAAGCGAGGTTGATTCGTCGGCCATGAGAGGAGGAGGGAGGGATGGGAGGTGGACGACACCGACTTGACGGCTGACGGCCGCGTTCGTCGCGTCCGCGGCTGACGGCCGCGTTCGTCGCGTCCGCGGCTGACGGCCGCGTTCGTCGCGTCCGCGACTGACGGCCGCGTTCGTCGCGTCCGCGGCTGACGGCCGCATTCGTCGCGTCCGCGGCTGACGGCCGCGTTCGTCGCGTCCGCGGCTGACGGCCGCGTTCGTCGCGTCCCCTGCTGACGGGCGCGTTCGTCGCGTCCGCGGCTGACGGTCGCGTTCGTCGCGTTCGCGGCTGACGGTCGCGTTCGTCGCGTCCGCGGCTGACGGTCGCGTTCGTCGCGTCCGCGGCTGACGGTCGCGTTCGTCGCGTCCGTGGCTGACGGTCGCGTTCGTCGCGTCCGCGGCTGACGGGCACGTTCGTCGCGTCCGCGGCTGACGGGCGCGTTCGTCGCGTCCGCGGCTGACGGTCGCGTTCGTCGCGTCCGTGGCTGACGGTCGCGTTCGTCGCGTCCGCGGCTGATGGGCGCGTTCGTCGCGTCCGCGGCTGACGGTCGCGTTCGTCGCGGCGGGCGGATGTGGTGAGGAGAGGGGCGCCGAGATGGCGCGAGGGGCACGGCAGAGTCGGCGGGAGGTGCGCTGAGCGGCGCGAGGGGCACGGCTGAGCCGGCGGGAGGTGCGCTAAGTGGCGCAAGGGGCACGGCAGAGCCGGCGGGAGGTAGAGTATGGTCCTAGGATCTTGAGTGGCGTTAGCCGTAAGAGCCCTGATACCATGTGAGAACTGAACCGATGAGTTGATTAGGAATGATGAGGGCTTACATAGTTGGAGCTAAGGAAAGGAGGGTGGTTGGTACCTAGCCAACATTATTGGCCCCCACCAATAAGTTGGGTTGGAGAATTATTGGGGGGTCCCAATAATGTTGGTCAAAGTGGGCCAACATTATTGGGGGGGCCAATAATCCTCCAACCCAACCTTGGGGGTCCAATAATTGGGCCAAGGTTGGGTTCCAACCCCCACCTAGGGTTAACCCTAGTTGTGCACCCAAACATTGTTTGGGTGCCTATCTCTATCCTAGGGTTTATAGGATCAATGCAGGATACAGAAGAGTAGTATAATCTAACAACCTGATAGGGAACCTGATGGGGAATCTGACGTCAAACCTGACCTCAAACCTGACCTCAAACCTGACCCCCATCCTGACGCCAAACCTGATGTCAAACCTGACCTCAAACCTGACGTCAAACCTGACCCCAAACCTGACCTCAAACCTGACCTCAAACCTGACCTCCATCCTGACGCCAAACCTGATGTCAAACCTGACCTCAAACCTGACGTCAAACCTGACCTCAAACCTGACCTCAAACCTGACGTCAAACCTGACCTCAAACCTGATGTCAAACCTGACCTCAAACCTTACCTCCAACCTGACGTCAAACCTCACGTCAAACCTCACGTCAAACCTCACGTCAAACCTCACGTCAAACCTCACGTCAAACCTGACGTCAAACCTGACGTCAAACCTGACCTCAAACCTGACCTCAAACCTGACGTCAAACTGTCCTCAAGCCTTTGACTTAACCCATCATCACTACATCCCATGTCTGTGTCCCCTGCGTGCAGCTCAGGAGCAGCGCATGGCAGCAGCGGCATCGCTAGCACGCGCATCCCTGCCAGCCTCTTTGCCACTGCTCAACGATCTGCTCTCCCACCAGAAGGCTCTGCTGCTCAAGGTGGGTGGGGGGTCCACTGACTCATGCGTACATGTGTGCAGCACACACACACACAAGTTTTACACACGTGCATACTTCCATCCACGAAGGCACACGGACACTCGTAGTTAACGTGTCTGAAAGCTCTTGCTCGGTGTGTGCGTGCGTGTGTGCACAGGCAGCAGACGCAGCAGCGGCAGCAGCAGGGGGCGGAGTAGGGGCGGCGGAGGGCGAGGTGGAGAGGGTGATGGAGCAGGTGCAGTGGACAGTGCGCATGGTGGGATACGTGCTGGCAGATGAAGGCACTGGGGAGACGCCTGAGGTACCTCTCCGTTCTCCCATCTCTCATCTCCCATCTCCCGTCTCCCATCTCCCATCTCCCATCTCCCATCTCCCATCTCCCATCTCCCATCTTCCCGTGCATCATTCCCGTACGCGTCACACAATTGTGAGCCTTCGTTCTGACCTTGTTTCTTCCGCTTTGCATCTTCTGTGCAATCTCCTATGCAGCTGCCAGTGTTCCTCGTGTATGAGCTCAACTCCCACCACGCCCAGTCGTTGACAGCGCTAACCACCTCTCTGCCCATGTTAGTATCACCACCACACCATCCCTCCCATCACGTCCATTCGCTCCATTCCGTACCAGTTTCAGTACCATGCTCTTGCCTTCCATTCCATCCCTTCCATGTCCTCTCCTCCCTCTCAGCTAGCTTGCATGTTCTGTTGTGTCTCTGTTGTATCTTTCACCTTCTCAACACCCAAGTGGTGCCTAACCACCCCACCCATGGTCGCAGGAGCATACTGGAAGTGGCATCGCTTGTGCTCAACCCATCTGCTGTCGCCACCGTGCTCAGCCCCCGACTCATGGAGGTGAGCAGAGCAGTGGGAATGGGTGGAAATGGATGGGGAGGAGTGCAACAAGATACCAATGAGGATGTATCTCCATCAACTTAACTCATGTCTTCTTCGCGTGTGCCCAGCCCAGAGCTCACGTCACACTTACTTCCATGTAAACCATCTGTCCAACTCCAACCCTGACTCCCTACTGTCCTACCTCTCCCCTCTGCACCCTCTCTCCCCTTTTCGCTACTCCCCCGCACCCTCTCCCCCCCACAGTCGCTCCTCTGGTTCTTCGCCCGCTGGTCGCTCACCTACCTCCTACCCCAGCCCCCCGACACCAACTCCTCTCCCTTTGACTCCGAAACCGACCTCCCGCCACTCTCCCCAGCCCCACCCTCGGCCTCTGCCTACTCCTCCCTCGCATCAGCAGCAGCAGGGGGCGCGCTAGAGCAGGCGTTTGGAGCAGGGGAGGGGCAGGGGGGGCTGGCGATGCTGGAGGGGGTGCTGAGGGCGGGAGTGGCGGCGCTGAATGTGTGGCCGGGGGAGCCGGACGTGCAGCGCAGTGTGTGCCGCACGCTGCTGCTGGCTGTGACCCGCCATCCCTACATGGCTGCCTTCCTCAGACACCTGGTGTGTGCATGAGCGGTGGGTGGGTGGATAGCGGGATTGGAGGTAGTCCGTGGATTGGTGTTTCATGGATTGGTGCAAGTGGGTGGGGATCGGTGCATGTGGGTGGGGATCGGTGCATGTGGGGATTGGTGCCTGTTCCCCTTTCATTTCCTGGTTCTTTTTCCTTGGTTTCTTTGTTTATTGTTGCCCGTGTTTCTTCTGCTCGCCCATGCACATGCCACCACGCCCCTCTCCACCTGCGCGCATGTGTGAGCAAGGCAGCCCCCATGGGCGATTCTAGAGGAGGCGTTCAAGGCACGGGATTCCGCTGTCGCATCCCTCCCCGGCCCTCTGCAGGTGCCCTCACCTTTCAACGTCGCTCCCTTTCCTTCTTCCCTCCATCTCAACCTCACTGCGGCTTGCAATGGTTTCTCGTTACCTCGTCCTCTCACGTCCATCCAATGCTCGCCGCTTCACTGCACGCTCTTACCTGATGTGCCTGCATCGCCAATGCCTTGCTTTCTCCCCGCCCCCATCTCTCCTCGCCTTGCGTCGCTCTCTCCATTCCCCGCTCCTTTCCTCCCTCAGACACATTACCCCTCCCCCCATCTGATCGTCTCCTATATCTTCCTCTGCTCATCCGCCGCTCCATCCATGCATGCATGCCTGGTCCCCGTGTGTCCGCAGCGTGCCTTGGCGCATGCGCTGTGCCGTGCAGCCAGCAGCAGCAAGGAGGGTCACTCCTGCCATCAGTGCGTCTTTCTCTCTCAACTCAACCACACCTCATGCTTGGCTCACATCCTTGGCCCACATCCTCACCCCACTTTCTCACTGCACCCTACGTCCCACTTTCCACCCAACTTCCTCACCCTACGTCGACACCCCACATCTTCACTCTCCGTCCTCTCTCTCTCCATACGGCATTGGCTCTCTCTTTCTTTCTGCTGCATCACCTCTCTGCTTCCCTTACTCCTCTGCCACTGCAGCTTCCGCTTCCCTGTGACAATCCGTCATCCCTCCCCCCTATCTCCACCATCTCCTTCCCTCCCTCTCCCCTCTCCTCTCCTCTCTCCTACCTCCCCCTTCCGCTCCTCTCCCCAGGGTGGTGCAGCAGCTGCTGCAGCCACTATTGGCATCACTGCATGCCATCACGGCCGCGCCTGACTTTGCAGCCACGGCACACCGCCCCCAAGTCATGTTCCAGGTGCCGCATGGGGGCATGCATGCGCACATGTGTGTGGGGAGGGGCCGGGGCGGGAGGGGATGAGGGGGGTATGAGGTGCCCGTGCTCTCAAGTCTTGAGAGCAGCAAAATCAGGGGCTCCTCATGGGAGGGGACGAGGGGGGGGGGGTATGAGGAGCCCGTGCTCTCAAGTCATGTTCCTTTTGCCCTCTCGTTTTAACCATCCCCTGTCCACTTCCCCATCCTCGTTGCTGTGCTCTCCTCTCTCTTATGAATCTGCGTGCGAGCAGGTGATAGGGGTGTTGGAGTGCATGAGGGGTTGCGCTAGTGCCACCCTGCCACACTCGCAACGAGTGCTGTTCCAGTTCGGCCTGTCAGCAGGCACCCCCATCCTCACCGCCCTCTCCGCCTACCGACACGAGGTAACGCTGCTGCTCGGCTGTGCTTGCTTTCATTGTTGCATGGTGGCATGGTATCGCGTACTTGCATGCGTTCTTGCTTTGCTGGCGTGGTTGCACCTCTGCTTTGAAACGCGTGCATCCGACTGCGTGTGCCCATGCACTTCATTCAGCGAGTCCATGTATCGATGTATGTCGATGTATACACAACCACCACACCCCTCTCCCCTTCTGCCTCACAGCTGTATCAGATTCCTTTCTTCAGGCATATCAAACATACACTCCCCGAAACCCGCGCCCGCAAACCTCCCCTTCCCTATATATACCCACCAACAGCCGCAGGTGGTGTTTGTGGTGCTCAAGTTCATGGCGGTGTGGGTGGACTCGCAGATCCTCTTCCTCACGCCTGACGACACGGCCCAGCTCTTCCACCTCTGCCTGCAGCTGCTCGAGGCATACGCCGCTCACAACATGGGCAAGGTGTGTGTGTGTGTGTGTGTGTGTGTGTGTGTGTGTGCGTGCGTGCGTGCGTGCGTGCGCGCGCGCGCGCGCGTGTGTGTGTGTGTGTGTCACCCCCTCTTTACTTGACTCTCGCTGTCTCCTCTATTCCCCCTCTATTTCGTGCAGTGCCACCTGTCGCATCGTACCTGCACTCTCAACCCTAACATGCTCCCACTCCTCTCACATCGTCCACTCCCCCACCACCTCACCACCCCACCATACTACTCTAGCAGGTATCGTTGCAGCGGTCGCGGCAGTTGAGTGAGGGCGTGCGGGAGAGCAAGTACAAGGACCTCAAGGCGCTGCTGCGTTTTGAGTCGACTCAAAACACCATCCCCGCCTCCCCACCATTTCACTCCCGCAGGTGTCATTGCAGCGGTCGCGGCAGTTGAGCGAGGGTGTGCGCGAGAGCAAGTACAAGGACCTCAAGGCGCTGCTGCAGCTGCTCTCCTCCCTCACCTCTAAAGACCTGGTGCGCACCACAACGCATCGTCACAGCCTAAAAACTCAGATAGGCTGTTTGGGAGAGGGGGGAGAAAAGGGAAGGGGGTCTGAAGGCTTGATTAGGTGGGGCATTTGCATTTGTATATGCAAACACTTTCTCATTTTTTAGAATTCTCAATTACCCTTGCACTTTGACATCCTTTCCTTCTCTTCCCAGTCTTCCCTCCTTCTCCTCAAAGTTCCCTCTTCCCCCTTCCCTCCTACCTCCCCCACTTTCCCCCACTTTCCCTTTGTTTCCCCCTCTTCCTATCCCTCCTATTCCTCATGGCCCATTGGGCAGCTTGACTTTGGAGCATCACTGCCGGGCCAGTCAGCGGACGTGGCACAGGTGTGTGTGCATGCGTGCGCACGTGCGTACTGGCGTGTGTGTGTGCATGATGGAATCGAGAAAAATGTTGCGAGGGGGTTTGAGGCGCAGTTGGTTGTATTGTGGTTTCTTTCTCAATTTCAAAGCCCAGTTATTGACCAAGCTACTTCTGATTAAACTTCCTATCCCACACGTGTTGGGTTGACTGTATGTGTGTGTGCGTGTGCTCACCTGTATGTATGTGCATGTGCGTTTGCATGTGCATGTGCATGGGAGCAACAGATGGTGTGTCTGGGTGTGAACATCATCATTCCGCTCATCTCCCTCGACCTACTCCAATTCCCCAAGCTCTGCCTTCAGGTAACCACATCTCCATGTCTGTATCAGAGTCGCTGTTAGTAACTCTCAAATCCCCCTTTCAAGATGCTTTGAAATCTCAAAATTCCCATCCAATCCCGGCGCCTCTCCCCGCACTACTCTCGCCTCCTGCGCTCCGTTTGTTACCTATCTTCCCCCGCTCCCACTTGTTTCACTTGCACCACTCCCTTCCGCTTCCTCCCTATTATCAGCCTCATCATCTGCATCCACCCTCCAATTCCCTCCCCTAATCCTTCCCACTCCTCCCCCATCTGTGCTGCCTCTACTATCCCTCCTCCGTTCGTCCTCCCCCCTTTCCCCACCTCCCCTTTCCCTCCCCGCCAGTACTTCACGCTGTTGGAGCACATGTGCTGTGTGCACCCCGAGAAGGTGCTGGCCCTGCCGGACTCCGCCTTCCACCCCATCATGCACACTCTCGAGTTCGGCCTGCAGCACCAGGTGAGAGGGAAAGGGGCGAAGGGGGTAGGGAGGTGGGTTTCTTTTAGACGCCTAAGAAACAGACAAGGTGCTGTTAACCGCTTCCTGACACCACCTTCCACCCCATCATGCACACTCTCGAGTTCGGCCTGCAGCACCAGGTGGGGGGGGACTAGGGGGGGTGCGAGAGGGGAGGGTGCATGGCGGAACCGGGCAAGAATAGGGGGAAGGGGAGGGGAAAGGGATGGGGAAGGGGAAGGGGAGGGGGAAGGGGAAAACGTGGACTCGAGCATGCTAACTCAGACACACTGCAGCATTCATTCACACACGCACTCTATCCCACTCACACACACTAAACGCCACTCCCCTTCTCTGACCTCGTCTCTCCCCATATCTTTCCCAATGTGTCTCCCCATGCCACCCCTCCTCACCAGGACGAGGAGATTCTGGTGCTCTCCCTCTCCTCCGTCTCCGCCCTTGCATCTCCCACCTCTTCTTCCTCCTCCTCCTCCTCCTCCTCCTCCTCCTCCTCCTCCTCCTCCTCCTCCTCCTCCTCCTCCTCCGCCTCCTCATTGGCGCCAGAGCATGTGCAGCGCCATCAGGCCTTGGCTGCTCACCTCCTGCGCCTTGTGCTCCAACTTGTGCTGCTGCAGCCCCTCAGGTGATTCTGCAACTCCTGATATGGTTTTTCATCACCTCAGGTGGGATGGGCAAGGTGGTATGGGGAGTGAGGTGAGTGTGGTGAGTGTGGGACTGCCAACTCAGATCGAGCCTCGAGGCAATACAGAACACTCTTCGCCACTCTGTTGCACAATGAACCCTCTTCCTGCTCTTCTGTTGCATCAGCCACCTTTTGCACATGACTTCTCCTTTTCGCCCATCTCCCTATACAGCCACCCATTCATTATTCCTTCTGTCATGGTTCCTCATACCATACACTGTGTTATATGATGCCATGTCATGCCAATGCTTCCAATACAGGAACGAGACAGTTGAAGCAGCAGCAGATGCGCTCCTCCCTCTCATCCTTTCCTGCCCTCAGCTCACCCAGGTACTTCTTCCTGTCCCACCTTCCCTCTTCTCTTATCCACCACTCCCCCGAGTCCCACCCACTCCATTGTAACACTCTACCCATGCTGTCCTGCAAATCAGCAGCTTTAATAGGTTCTTTTCCGTACCAACAATACTTCTCCCCTCCCCCTTCTCCCTCCTTCCTCCCCCATCCCACCCCAGACCATTCTATCGGAGGCAGTGTCATCACATGTGGACCCTGCAGGCCAACTCCACCTCTCCTCTGCAGTCTCGACATTCCTAGCTGCGGCATCGGCAGCAGCAGCAGCCAGTGCATCAGCGACCTCTGCTGCCGCTGCTCGCCCCGTGCGCCGCCGGTTTAGATCCGCCCTGGCTGCCTTCATAGCTGATGTGCAGGGCCTGATCGTGCGCCGGTAACTAGATTTCAACTTTTGAGGCACCTCTAAAGTTGCTCTCGCTGGATCCATACGGTAGCTGATGTGCAGGGGCTCATAGTGCGCCGGTGACCAGGTTCCACAACCAGTACCGGCACCTCACATTGTGCAGCGGTAACCAGATTACAGTACCATGGCCAGTAAGCTCCTATTATTCTGGACACGTTAGTGATTTTTTCAAGTCACCTGAAAAGCGACGTGAAAATTACCATGTGCAGGGGTTTACTGTGTGCATATAGGTGACTTGTGAAGGGACAAGTGGTAGAATGGCAGCATGCAGTAGGATATAATTAGGATGTATCTCATCCAGGGCTGACGCTATCAGAGTAAATAGTCTGATTAGTCTGACGGATCAGACCATCGAGTTTGTGGAAAATGGAATTCCAGAGTAGTCAAATTTTCATCACTGAGAGCCTCAGAGTTATTGTTTTATGGCCCCTGATTCAGTGTAATAGGCCTAAGTGTTAGTCATTTCTGGAGTCTGTCACTACAGAGTATGCGTTCTGTGGTCCCTGCATGCGAGTTTATCGGGAGGAAGCTTCCTCGAAATTTCCTTTCGATACACCCACCTCCGAGGTGGCAGCGAATGCCAACACGTGAGCAAAGCATACAGCACCTGCTGCGATATCTGAATACACTCTATCTGTGGCAGTATCACACTGGTTGAATTGTGTCCCACAGTGGGTTAACCATTGAAGCGGGCTAGAAAAAGAAGCCCAATAGTGATGTCTTAGCGGATAGCACAACAAATCGGCGAATCGGTGGGAGAGGATATCTTGCCACAGGTAATGTATCGCACTTTTTGTGTTTGGTGGGAGAGGATATTTTGCCAAGTGGTGGTTTGTGTTTTGTGCCAGCTCAGCTGCGTGGCAGGTCGCCCAGTTGGCACTTGCAAAGTTGCGCCAAATCGAGCCAATGTTGCAAGAGTCGTTCTCGCCCTTGAAGCTCACCGACAAACCAGAAGGAAAAAACAAAACAAAAAAAAACAAAAAACGCGACTCTGAAGTCATTTCCCCAACACTGAAGGACCAGAGTTATGTTTTTTTCAACCCTGATTTCTTTTAACACGCTCAGAGTGGCCATTTTGCGGCCGAAGTGCCCTCAGAGTAGAAAAAAAAATGCGGGTCAAAAACAGGGAGGCGTTTTTTGAAACGTCAGCCCTGCCCTAACTAAACAATAAGCATATAGTTTGACAAAATTGTGCAGCCTAACTGTCAGGCTGTATTGGGGCTAGCTTTAGGGGGTACACAATTTCCCTCGACATTCTAGTCTTGTACCCACCTTGACCTAATACAATCACTCTTGCCTAGGTATTTTAACATGGCATCTAGAGCAGGTTCTTAGGACCTAAGATTATGGGCCCACCCATTACCGTGTTACCAACGGCCTGCCTACCTACCTTGCCTGCCTGTTTGCCTTGTCTCCTGACCGCGCGCGCCTCAGTTGCGCGCGCGCGTAGCTTTTTTTTTAGCGCGTGCGCTGCTGCTGCCAGCCGCGTCGCGCCCCGCACGTCGCCCGCGCAGCCCGCCCTGAGCCCGCGCGGCCCCGCGCACGACTCGCAGCTGCCCCGTGCATGCCAGCGCAGCCCGCCCGCGCAGCCAGCGCACAGATTGCGCACCGCCCGCGCGCAGCCCGCGCATCGCCTGCGCGCAGCCCGCGCACCGCCCGCGCACTGCCTGCATTGCGCCCTGCCAGCCCGCGAGTGGCATGCCGCCTCGCCCTGCGCACTTCGCCGCCCGTGTGCCACGCGTCCGCTCTAGCCGTGCGCCTTGCCTGCCTTGCGCCTTGCCTGAGGTGTGCCTGCCTGCCTTACGCCTGCCTGCCTTGCGCTTTGCCTGAAGTGCGCCTGCCTGTCTTACGTCTGTCTGCCTGAAGTGCACCGGCCTGCCTTGCGCCTGCCTGCCTGTAGTGCGCCTGCCTGCCTTGCGCCTGCCTGTCTTGAACCAACACTGCCATCATGGCGACACTTAACGTTCTCGCATTCGAGCCTGACGGTCGCCCGATAGAATTTGCCACTTGGCTTGACGATCTGCAGCTGTTTCTCATGACGGATGCCAAAGACGGCGTTTCTCTGTTCGATCACGCGTCTGGCACTGCCCCTGCTCCTGCTGAAAGTGCTACTGCTCTCGAACGCTCACAGTGGTAGACTCGCGATGCTGCTGCGCGCCTCGCTATCCGCAACCACCTGCCGATCACTGAGCGCGCGCATTTTAGTCAGCACAAGACTGCTAAGGCGCTTTACGACGCTGTAGTTGCGCGCTATTCCTCCCCAGCCACTGCAGCCGTAGGACGCCTCATCCTGCCCTACCTGTTCCCAGACTTGTCCTCATTTACCACCGCTGAGGACCTCATCTCTCACCTCCGCGTTAGTGACTCCCGCTTTCGTGCCGCTCTTACCGACGAGTTCCTCGCCACGAACACCCCACCGCTGTACTTTACCCTCTACATCCTCGTCACTCGCCTCCCTGACACTCTTAGCTCGGTCAGGGACCATTTCCTCGCCAAGGACCCTACCACTATCACTCTAGCCCACTTCGAGCAGCAGCTCCTAGCAGCAGAGAAGAACATCCTCACTGTAGGTGCTGCCCGTGGCACTCCACGCACTCCCCTCTTTGAGGGGTGCTCCCCCTCCCCTCTTGCCCCCTCCTACGCCTCAGCTGCTGCTGCAGTCGACCTCCTCGGTGCTGAGAAGGTTGCAGCGGCTTCCGCTCCTGGTGGGAAGCGCGGCAGTGGCAGGGGCGGCAAGGGTGGCAGGGGTGGTGGCGGTGGCGGTGGAGGGAGCGGTGGTGGAGGCGGCGGGGGTGGTGGCGGTGGTGGGGGTGGTCGTGGGGGTGGAGGAGGTGGGTGGGGCGGCGGTGGAACCGGGAGTGGTGGAGGTGGCAGCGGAGGTAGTGGGGGAGGAGGCAGTGGTGGTGGCGGTGGAGGTGGGGGTGGGAGTGGGACCGGCCAGAAGGGGAGTTCCAGTGGGGGCCAGCAGCAGCAGCAGCGCCCGACCCCCTTTTCTCAGCAGCTCCATGACTAGTATGCCGGGCGTGGGGCGTCTGGGGGTCCTGGTCGCTGCCCCTATGTCGTTCTCACTGGTCCCCGTAAGGGTCGCCCATGCAACGGCTTTCACACTGAGTACCGCTGCTTCGCTAGGCTCAGCGACGCCTGGCGCGCCAAGTTTCCTGATGCTACTGAATTCCCCAACTGGGCAGATCTGCTTAGGCGTGATGTACCTATCTTTGATCTTGACTATGATGCAATCCTTGCTGTCATGTATGCATTGACTGTTAGTGCTGAGGGTGACTGTTACTTGTGTGTGCCGCCTGACCCCGATATAGACCCAGGTATAGCGCCTGCAGCCCTAGGTGCTAGTGAGTCTGCTCTCCCTGGTATTGCGTCCGCTCAGGCCTTGCACACCTTTACACTTGACTCTAGTGCTTCCCGCTGTTTCTTTCGCGACAGCACCACAGTCACTCCCCTTCGTCGACCTGTCCCTGTCTCACTGGCTGACCCCTCTGGGGGCCCAGTGCTTGCACGGTCCACCACTGTGCTTCCGTGCCCGGCGGTCCCGTCTGGTGAGCTGTCAGGTCTCCACCTCCCCTCGTTCTCTACGAACCTGGTGAGCAACGCCGTCCTTCCGGATCACTGGGTTGACACCTTTACTCCTGGAGGACAGCGTGTGGCAATCTGCACGTGCTCCCGGATAGGCCGCCACCTGGCCACGTTCACACGTGCGCCTGGGTCCAGTCTGTACACCCTCACCACTACGTCGCGCTACACCCCGTTGTCTCCCCAGCTGTACGCGTCTACTCAGGTAGCTACCCAGTGTGAGTGTCGCCGGCTGTCGCACAACACTCTCCTGTGGCACCACCGCCTTGGTCACCCCTCCCTACCTCGCCTTCGTAGCATGCACTCTCGCTTCCTGGTCTCTGGCCTTCCCACGTCTCTGCCTGCCCTCCCTCCCTCGCCTGCACCGCCCTGCATTCCTTGCGTCGAGGGGCGGCAGCGCGCCGCTCCTCACTCCTCCTCGTTCCCTCCCACAGAGGCTCCACTGCAGACTCTCCACCTGGACGTGTGGGGCCCAGCCCGTGTCCGGGGACAGGGCCACGAGCAGTACTTCCAGCTGGTCGTCGACGACTACACGCGTTACACCACGGTCTTCCCCTTGCGCACCAAGGGTGAGGTCCCTGATGTTCTGATCCCCTGGATCCGCGCTGTTCGTCTCCAGCTCCGCGAGCGGTTCCAGTCGGACTTTCCTGTCCTGCGTCTGCACTCTGACAGAGGTGGTGAGTTCTCCTCAGACCTCTTGGCAGCCTACTGTGCGGAGCACGGCATCCGCCAGACGTTCACGCTTCCGGCCTCTCCACAGCAGAATGGGGTTGCTGAGCGCCGCATTGGCTTAGTCATGGAGGTCGCTTGTACGTCCATGATCCATGCGGCTGCCCCCCATTTTCTGTGGCTGTTTGCGGTCCGGTACGCCGCGCATCAGCTCAACCTCTGGCTTCGTGTCTCCGTGCGGGAGACCTCGCCCACACTGGGTTGGACGGGGAAGGTTGGCGATGCGTCGCGTTTCCGGGTCTGGGGTGCTCGTGCCTTTGTCCGCGATACCACCGCGGACAAGCTCTCCCCTCGCGCCATTCCATGCGTCTTCCTTGGCTTTGTCCCTGACGCGTCTGGCTGGCAGCTCTACGACCCAGCCACGCGCCGTGTCTTTGCGTCTCAGGACATCACCTTTGACGAGTCCGTCCCCTTTTACCGTCTCTTTCCCTACCGCACTGCTCCTGGCCCCCCCCCCCCGCCGCTATTTCTCGCTCCAGGTCCTCCCCAGGTAGACCCCCTCCCTGCGCCAGGTCCTGCTCCTTCAGGTGTTTCTCAGGTAGACCCTCCCGTGCCTGCGCCTGTTGAGGTCTCTGGTGACTCAGGTCCTGTTGGGGGGGGGTCCTGCTCGGGGTGATGTCTCTGGGGGTGCTGAGCCTGGGGGTGCGGAGTCTGAGCGTG